TTGTCTTTTGAGAGTGGCGTGTATCTTGTAGTAGGCCAAACTCATCAATGTTAGTGGTAGCAAGTATAATGAGACAAATGTATATACTCGAACAAAACTACGAAATGCATCGTCTTGGTATTGAATATTTGAGCAAGTCCCGTCTGGATCATTGCTGGATTTCAATATAAATAAAAGTGGCAACGAAAAAAGAATTGACATCACCCAGATTAGAGCAATCAGAGTTTTCATCCGTGTTGCTGTGAGTTTCCTTGCATACTGTAGTGGATGCACTAAAGCAACATATCTCTCGAATGTTACCACGCAGAGATTGTAAGCAGATGCATACGACAAAGCCCACTCAAGAAAGTGAGATTGCAGGAATCGGCAGAAAATAACCTTTCCACCAAAGGTTTTGGGCACATAGTCAATTATTTTACAGTCGTCATAATAAATTAGACCATCAAAAATACAGATCAGACACGACAGCATGTCGGCAAAAGCCAAATTCACTAGCAGATAGTTTGTCATAGTGTGTAGGGATTTGACACGTAAAATGACGAAGCACACTAAGAGGTTTCCCAAGACACCAATGACTCCTTCCGCAATCAACAAATGGCAAACCCACTTGCCTATACCGGTAGTTGGCTCCGTATTGTTAAAGAGCTGCTGGGTTGAATTCATGGCTGACATTTTGGGGAATGATGGTGATGAAAAATTTGTGTCCGGTAAATATTTGATCGTTGAATACTGTTGATGCAATGTTCATAAGATTAAAGCTGGCCAAAACAATTGAAGGATTCTTTGGACCAAAATATGCACATGGTCCTGCATCGACACTTGATGAACATACAACTACAATAGTGATGGAGTTTTTTTGGAGACAGACCTGTTTTCCAGAGCAACATCCAAGCACACTCTGGTCAGTGCTTTTTGTGGTCGTTCAGCAAGGAGATTTCCACAACGACTGCCAATAAAAGTAGCCCTTTCTGTTATAAAACAGTCCCTGTGTGTCTAGCAACAAAGAACTTGGAGGAAACGCTCTGCTGATCATGTAGCATGCTCACTGCATGAAAACGACACTCAGAGTGATATCCTGGACCGAAGTCAGTGTCTTTTGACTCGGAATCAGATGATCTTTATTAAATGAAACCTTACAACCGAAAATAATGAGTGAGAGACAAAAGGCAATAACCTGCACGTCTGGCTGTCACTTAGAGAGCTGCCATACTGCCCTCTTTGACGCCTTGAGTAAAGCGAAGGGATGTGCAATGTGTGCATTGACGGATAGTACAGGTACCTGATTACCCGTTAAAGAAACCCAACTTCAAAATCTAAATCTGGGAAGTTGCTGTACAGATTGTTCATAAAGGTCGGCAGAATAACACCACACCGTTGCGTTAGTACAAGATACAAGTGCACAGCGAGTTCATACAAGGTGTAAATTATATTTTGGCAAACGTCATAAACGTGAATCTGTTGTTTTTCCATGCAGCCTGAGATTCAAAATCTAACTTTTTCATTGTTGGAGAATTGACTACGGTACCTAACATTCCATAATCTGGAACCGGTTCCTGAAATCAGCGGTCAGGTACTCCAGTACTCAGTTCTAATGCAAAGCCCTTCTAAAAAACTACTATTTTAACTCTTACTCGCTCTAGTTTTTGTTAGAAACTTTTCTGAGTCCTTAAAAATCCACCGTAGGTATGAAAAAAAAAACAAATCTGAGTTTGTGCTCTCTGAGGATCATTCAACACATTTTAAGTTTTTAGCTGCTCATTTGAATCAAACACTGCTGGTCTGCAGGTATAACTATACAGACAAATGTACAAAATACTACTGTACAAAAATGGTTAACACACAGTACCTGTACAATGTAATTGAGTCCACGTTGCTTACCCCACCCCCCCCCCCCCCCATTTTCTCAAGGCATCCTGTTGAATTCAACGTGTAAAGCCATCTTAATCTAATAAAAACAAAAGCATTTGCCAACTGTTGGGAATTGTGGGCTGGGTAGGGGTGGGGTGGGGTGGGGTTGGGTTGGGTTTGATTTGGTTGGGTTGGGTGGGGTGCGTTGGGTTGGGTTGGGTTGGGTTGGGCTGGGCTGGGCTGGGCTGGGCTGGGTTGGGTTGGGTGGGGTTAGGTGGGGTTGGGTTGGGTGGGTTGGGTTGGGTTGGGTCGGGTTGGGTTGGGCTGGGCTGGGTTGGGTTGGGTGGGGTTAGGTGGGTTTGGGTTGGGTGGGTTGGGTTGGGTTGGGTTGGGTTGGGTTGGGTTGGGCTGGGCTGGGCAGCATTGGGTTGGGTTGGGTTGGGTTGGGTTGGGTTGGGTTGAGTTGGGCTAGGTTGGGCTGGGTTGGGTTGTTTTGGGTTGGGTGTGGTTGGGTTGGGTTGTTTTGGGTTGGGCTGGGCTGGGCTGCATTAGGTTGGGTGGGGTTGGGTGGGTTGGGTGGGGTTGGGTTGGTTGGGTTGGATTGGATTGGGCTGTGTTGGGTTGGGTTAGGTTGGGTTGGGTTGGGCTGGGCTGCGTTGGGTTGAGTGGGGTTGGGGAGGATGTTAGCATCACAGGATTCAACAACAGGCATGCAACCGGGAAGTCACCAACAAAGAGGAAATTCAAATCTTTCTAAGACTTTGTACAAGTACAGTGTTTTCCTATTTTTAATGGCACACATGCAAAGTAAAAAAAGAGGAAATCAGCTGATCCGAGGAAAAGTTGCATGCCTGCAACAAGTGATACCCCATACTGAAGTAGGAAACAAACAATTTACAAACAGTGTAGAGAAAAGCTTACATCTAAACTTTTCCTCTAGGCTTTTACAATATTTATAATTTCAGGAAGAATCCTCACCTAACATCGGCTCATATCAAAATTATGTATTTTTTTTGGGTAGGCAACATGTAAAAAAAAACCTCACAAAATGTGTGAGTCACTAGTTTAACCTCACAATGCATGACGGGATAATTGACGACCTCACATGGACAACAACACCCATGCATAATGGGATTTTCGACAATCTTGAAAATGCGTGACAGTCTATTGGACAAACGTAGCATGCATCTTGGGACGCTGGACATTTCTGGTGCCTGCGTGCCAAGCAACTATGGTGACAATATACAGTATGTGATGTCCCCAAAAAAGTGTCTGTCTGACTATTTTTGAAATAACTACAAAATCATGGGGTAATTTTTGAATTTTTTGGGTTGTGCACATACTCCACAGCCTTGATCTGGTACACGGTACCCTGTGGAGACATGTGCATAATAGGGAACAAAAGATTGTATACATCTCCACAGGGCAATTTATATCATGTAGGTGAATACGTCTCTACAAGGTTATCACGAAATAGATATATGGATTTTAAACAAAAACTAGGAATTTCCAAGGTATGTTGATACGTCACAAATTGAAGTATTTTATGTAAGGGATATTACGTCCGAATTTCAGCCCAGGAAATTAATTCTGGTTAAAATAGGAGCATTTTGAAACAACACTTTCAAACTCGAAAACTTTAATACACGAGAACAAAGAAATGACTCACTCCACAAGGATACACATTCCAGTATGCGTGGCCTCAACCCCTATGAGTTTCATTTAATTTCAGTCACACATCACTACGCAATTATCAATTGATCACAACAACATTTTTGGACACTGTGACCAAATTCCTTGCCTTGTTCAATCTCAGAACTGTGTTAAGTCAGCTGTGTAAAATCCTTCATGCTGTGAAAAGGGCTGCAGTTGGGATTGGAATCATTTGCCTGGCTATCAGTCATCATGGCAAGACCTCAGTTTAATGCTCAAGGGCAAATGATTCCAATCCCAAACCACATCAGCCTTTTTTTCCACAACATGCAGGATTCTTCACAGCTTACATAACACAGCACTGAAACTGATTAAAGCAAGGAACTTTGTCACAGTGTCCAAGAATGGTGTGATCAATTGACAATTATGCAGTGATGCGTGACTGAAATTAAATGAAACTCATAGGGGTTGAGGCCAAGGCTTAGGAGTATCTGCACAACCAAACAATTTCAAAATTGACCTCATGGTTTTGTAGTTATTTTAAAAACTATCGACGGACACTTTTTGGGACATAATTTATAGGAAATTTTTTACTTTTTTGCTAATGGGGTCAACTGTCAAACTTAGAACAGCCTGAAGTTTACAACCCCTATTGTCATATTTGACAAATCTTCTGATAAGTCCCTTTTGAGACACGTTCGACACCAAATGATGCTCCAAAATACACACTGGTGTATTTTCATGGGGCAAAAGTAGCATCACTTGTCAGTCGGTTAGGCCCAAAAAAAAGTCTCCGGTTTCTGGTATGCAGCTTGCCCAAAAAGTGGTGCGGCGACGCGGCTTCTTTTTTTTTTCTACCTGATTTTTTTGCTTCAAATGTCGGCTGATGACTGCAAATGGTGCCCGACTAAACTTAGTGCAAATATATGGGAGTCCAGAGAGGCCACATAAAGCTTATTCTCGACCATAACCCAATCTAAAAACACGTTAAAATTGTGCAGCAGCAGGATTCCAGTCAAACCAGTGAGTTTGGCGGTTTTGAGACATCATCTTTCATTGAAAAAAAACCTTTTTCATTTTGCCGACGCGCATGGCTATGGCGACGCGCGCGCATACCAGAAACCGGAGACTTTTTTTTTGTTGGGATTACTCGTCAAATAATGATTTTTCTATGTACAATCTCTACACCGCTAGAAAGTATTATAACACCTCACCCGAATATTCTGTATCTTGAGAACTAGTCACATGGCATTCGCTATTTTTACAATGTTGCTGTACATGGCTAAAAAGACTAGATACAACGGTCTAAAAAAGTACTATAGGTATAGAAACCAATGTAGCAACCAGAGATCTGTGTGCACATCCATACGGTTGTGCGCATTGCGCACATTGTTCCAACACGCTATGTAGTTGGGTTCAAACATTTCATGAAGGGGTAGTTTGGAAAAGTGCAAGTAAATGTTCAACTACTTTCACATAGAAATCGAAGTACAGTTTAATGGATTTCGGTTAAATTTATTAATTATCTCTGAAAACCAAGCAGAATATGCAAGTGAGGCGTTATAAAACAAATACTGACCGCTTTAATGGGTGGTGTAATAAAACTAGCCTCCCTCAGTGATCCATGCAGTGTTTTGCTCTACGGATCACCTCATGAGGCTAGTTTTACCACACCACTCGGAACAGTCAATATTTGTATGCTATCAGCCTTTTTGAGATACAGTGGCCATAATAGAGGGCGCTTTTTGAGATACGGTGGCCATAATAGAGGGCGCTTTTTGGTTTGCGTATTTCTCTTCCGTTTTCGCCCAAACCAGAAAGCTCCCCTCGTTTAACGCTGCCAAATCCCAAAGCGGATAATTGTCTACAGAACCAACTAGTGAAAGGACAAATTTGAGGCAGTTTTTAATTCCTTGACTGTCGAATTTCGACACTCTTTTTAACATAATGTTCTGCATCCGATGAAATATTTGTCTTACATTCAGCCTCATCCTCACTGAAATCCATCCATCTTCACGGTCAGATCTTGGGCCTGTTGTTAGGGCTTGCCAATGCCGCTGCATCATCGTCCAAGGATCTCAGCAAGGAGTCCTCGTCTTCCACCGTGAATGCAGGCGAGGAGGAAGAGGATACATACTGGACCACCTCATTGCCTGAATCAAAAAGGAAAGGAGTGCATTTTTTTTTCATTCCGACAAAATTGGACGCAGAAAAAGTTAATGTTAAATTGCTGAGATATTTTCGCTAGTAAGCTGGAATTTACAATCTACGTAAAGCCATCTTAGCAACAGGGTCATTGAGTTGCTCTGTATTGTTAGCGAGCAATGTGCATGAATTTAGGCCTATATTATACTTGACATCCTCCGCACTGCTCCAGGATGCCACTGGCTCTGCCTCAACATATCGACAGTGATTGCTGGAGGATTTTGCAGGATTGAGGCAGTGGTCACCCGCCAAGGACCACGTTCAAGAAATATTGGAGGATTTTGGAGGGTTGAGGCTGTATGCTCCTCCACACTGCTCCAGGATGTCACTGGCTCTGCCTCAACATATTGACAGTGATTGCTGGAGGATTTTGCAGGATTGAGGCAGTGGTCATCTCCCAAGGACCACATTCAAGAAATATTGGTTGATTTTGGAGGATTGAGGTTGTATGCAATTTTTAAATGGAGGCAGTTGGAGGATTTTGCAGGATTGAGGTTGCATCCTAGCAGCAATGCCTGGGGAGTTGGGGTTAATAAAACACAATGCTGTACAATATCCATGATCCATTGCATTTTGTTACCATGGGATTATTGTCACTTTAGGCGACGCCTCAGTGCAGTGAGAATCGATAAACTTCTCAACTCAGTTGTTTGTCTTCTCACCTTTGACATTTTCCTGGTCCCCGTCTTCATTGCTTTGTGAATGGGAAACAGCCATGTTTGGGAACAGATCCTAGTCAGAGAGAAAAACAAGGAATGTGGGTTGAAACAGTTGAGGTGATAGTCAGTGCATCTAATTAATCGCAACTGATAACCAAGAAATGAAGGATGGTAGGGCCTCATCTTGAAAGCCCACCTCCAACAGCCCTGAAAAATGTCCACTCAAAAGATTTTGGAGGGTTTTGCAAGATAGAGACAGGTAGAACCCAATCATTATTACTTTACATGGGGCTTTCTGCCTCTTGAAAATGTGTTATGTATGATAAACAAGACGCACAAAATTGGTTACTCGCGTTACAAAAATGTAACGTGAGTAACCAATTTTGTGCATCTTGTTTATCACACGTGTGTACACAACACATTTTTCTGGATGTCATCTTTGGTGCTTAGGTAGGTCTAGGTCTACTCTATCTACCATGGGGATAACAATTATTAAACCTTTTCAGTAAGGTAATTACAGCCTAAGGAAACTCAAAAGTGCATCAAAAATGTAACCTGAGTAACCGTGAAATTGCCCAAATGAAATTCCAAGACTTTTCCAGGACAAAATGAGGGTTTTCAATGACCACTTCTGATGCCGTTTTTGGCATCTTGGGAGCCTATTGCTCTGGAGACAAGGGACGCCACTCCCTTTCAGCCTTCCAGTTGGGCACAAAACCACTGAGCACCCCAAACGCAGCACAATTATGCATCAAACGAGCAGCAAGTATAGAGCATACATGCATTAACCCTAACCCTCCAGGGTATGTTTGCTAGAACCCTGCCAAACGCAGCAACATGCAACACTTGACTAAGTGACAAGCCTGCCAAATGTAGCAAGATGCATCAGGGGAAAAGTCTCAAGGCCACACTGCCTCAGAGTCCGTGGTCACTGCACGCAGCAGGATACAACTGTGGCATTGTTCAGTGGGACTTAGCTCTCATCGTTTCAGAGCTGGCCATTCATGCACTGGTGTTGGCAGCTGAATGCATCAAAGTGCACCAGTTCTTTTCCACCTGGTGCACTGTGTTGCGTCTGGCAGGGTTAGGGTTAAGAGGAAGCATAGTAAACTGGAATGACTGTGAAAACCCTGCCTGCAGAGTGGAGAAATACTGGGGATTCAGGAAGTTTCTTTAAAAAAGGCCTCGAGAGTTGGCGTTAATTTGTTGGGTAGAACTATGGTTGTAGGCATACGCTACATTACATACCGTTTCATTGGTATTGCCACTATTTTCTGAGTTGAATATCTGTGAAATAAAGAACGAAAACCACTGGGTGTCAGACAGCGATGTTTGAACTTTAATTCTACAGGTAAGTGGACCTCATACCACTCTCAATTTTTGAATACTGTATGAGCTAGCTCGTTTGTCTGTAATGATCCAACAGCACTTTTACCAGTCTATCAGATGGGTCGATTTCAAATTTTACAAGCCCAACTAACATTTTACCGATCTGCTTAAAAATGTTGAAAATATTTGCAACTCTTTCCTAATGGCATTATATAACTCTTTTTTCTATCTGCATAAATTTGAAAGTGGTAAATTTGTCAAAAAAGCACAAAAGTGGCAAAGCAATCTTTAAAACAAAATGAACAAAATACTGAATCCAATAGAATCCAACAAACTGAACAGATGTTGTAATCCAATTGCCAAATCGAACGGAATTCGTTGGACATCAGTGAACTGAGGATTGTGAAGTATGAGCCTAATAACCAGCCTACCTCCATGAGCGAGTCCATATCCAGATTGTACGGTGTTGCGCTGCCGATTGACGTCAACATGTGTTGGATTAAGTCCAGGTTCTCCTGCACGGTGTTGACGTGTTCGCCAATCTCACCCCTAGTATCAACAGGAGAAAAAAAACAGTCATGAATCACACGGAATGGAAAAGCGAATGGAATAGAAAAAGGATGGAATAGGAAAAAGAATGGAATAGGAAATGGAATAGGGAAAAGAATGGAATAGGAAAAAGAATGGAATAGGAAATGGAATAGGGAAAAGAATGGAATTGGGAAAAGAATGGAAACAGAATAGGAAAAAGGATGGAATAGGAATAGGTAAAAGGATGGAATAGGAAAGAGAATGGAATATGAAATGAAAAAAGAAAAAAAGTACCTAGCATTTGAAACATCCTGCCATCCCGATTTATAAGTTCGTTTTTGACTTTCCTTAATATACAGGGTGTCCCCCCCCCAAAAAAATATGAAACCTCAAGCGCCTTGTTTTTTCAGCTTTAAAAAAAGTACAATTTGCAAATATCGATATTTTTTGCAGAGTGTATACATTAACTTTTCAACAACAAGGAAAGCTAAAAATTGTTAAGTGTGCTGTTTAGGACATGTTGAATCAGGTTTGGCAAATATGAATACTGTTATTGGGAAATGGGGACCATATGAAATGGTGCGGGTGCGGGATACGTAAGTTGTTGGAATACCTAGCTGGTTATAACATCATCTTGCGTGGCTATTACACCAAACCCACATGTACACATCTTAACATTTTCATGTCAAATACACATTGCCGATTGAGTGTGCCAGATGAAATAATCCCCGAAAAATGGAGATTTCAGGAGCTACTTTTTTCCGATCCACATACGTATCTCATAACAGCCTACCTTTGTTCATCATGTGACAGCATTCTCTTCATGATGGCCTTGGATCCTGAGCCTGACGTCATACCTGACGTCTGACCCAACGGCGACCCCAGGCCGTTCCCGACAATTCCCTCACCCTGTTCATCATCGTCTGTGTCAAAAAGCGAAGCCATGCCAGCATTAGCCTGGCCGTCAGTCTCCTGCAACGGCCACGCAGTGCTTCCAAACATGCCAGTGTCTCCCCCACTAGGCAGGGCCAGGTCAGAAGTACTGGGCTCCAGGCCAGCTGGTGATGTCACCATCGGTGATGTAACAGCTTGGGCCATGTCGGCCGTCGCGGGGGGTATGTCCAGCTCAAAGAGCGATGGGTCAAGGGTGGCTGGGGTCTGGTCGGAGACAGCGGCCATGCCGGGCTCGATGCCGGGGCTGGAGAGAGGCTGTCCGGTGGTGGATGGGATGTCGGTGATGTCGGATAGGACTGCTCCTGAGGGAAGGGTGCCAACTTCAGGTAAGGTGGCGATGTCAGTGTCAAAGGAGACCTAGAAGACAACAAGCAATACTCAAAAATGATGCAAAACACAAAAAAAAGAACCTGGAAAAAGTTCCTAAATGTTGATATTCATGCAAGTGTACCAACTGCGTTACTGTTCTCACTTCTTCATGCAATTTATGGATTTGGGTTGTAGGGAGTGAAAGATGCCAAATATCTGCAGATACCCCATTGAAATTGACCTTCTCTAAAAGGCACGGATGCCAGTGGGTTTTTGTTTCAGGGCTGGCATTTTTTTTTCTAAGATTGCAATACATCACACATACTCACATCGCCATACTATTCACGTGTTATGACAGTCGACAACAAATGTACAATACACGTACATACACATTCATGTATCCGCCAACATGGCAATCGTCGTTGGGCAGCGCACGCACAACGCGCAAAGACTTGCACACCAGTACAATGTGATTGCAGTGAGCCTCTAGGGTACTTGGTCCTAGGCTGGCTACCAAACCTCCTTTCAAGGTCTATACTGTTATGGAGAGACAGGGAACCATCTCATTGACACAGCGCCCTCGCTAATGCACACATGGATCCCATACAGTGCTGCATCTGAACTGTGTGACTTACGGGCTCAATGACTTGGATGTTGTCCCCCGGGTTGGCAAGTCTGGAGTATTTGGGTTTACTTGGGTCGGAGGCTGCCTCGATCATCAAAGGTCTGTGGAAACATAACGATCATGGAATAAATCCCGAAATGGACAATGAAAATATTGGAATAATGGTGACCTTCCGAAGGGTCAAATTTCTACAGTACAGTCGACACTTGTTAATACAAACACTGTTAATGCAATTCTGGTTATAGCAAACATAAAGCCTTGGTCCCGACTGTGCATGTATGTGCACAATGAATGGGACTGGCACTCCACTTAATACAAAATTCTGATATAACAAATATTTTGGCTAGGTCCGGCAGTGTTTGTATTAACGAGAGTCGACAGTACATTTGGAACAGGTAGCACAATTAACCCTCTGTTTTCTGAACAGTCAAAAAATCAATTGGTCCACTGCCATGCCTTTATACACGCCAGTCACCAACTATCAGATTTGGTAAAGTTAGGTACAGCTGGCTTATCAATCTCCTTCAGTCAAGGCAAATCTGTATCAAAGTTACATGAACAGTCACAGCCAGTCAATCCTGCTTTACAAAAACAGGGAGCTCTTAACCTTTAAAAACAGTCACTTGATTGATTTTGATGGCTGGGATGGCTTTGTTGAATTTGCCGACCAGACAGGGAGGGACAAAGACAAAATAGAGGTAAAAAAAATCTTAACTTTAGTACATGTTTGTAACAACAAAATGTGGATGTCTGTGAAAGGAAAGTAATCACCCCTAACCCTGCTTAATCCAACAGGATCCAACTATATCATAAACCCGTTGGAGCCTGTTGGATTGAGCAGTAAACCCAGTACAAATGTACATGTACATATTCAGAGTCTGATTCTGTTGGGTACTGATAAATAACACCAACGTGGACTCTGTTGGAACCAGCAAACAACTTAAATTAGGCACAGTTGGATTCTGTTGGATGGAGCACGAATTTTAGCAGGGTAGTCCTGAGGAACCCTCAGGGGTTAGGGTTGGGTTTACAGATCGCTTGCCCTGTTCCTATGGAACTTACTGTTTTCTCTTCAATCCAACTGGTTTGACCATCGTGATTAGGAACTGAATCAGACGATTGACGATCTTCTGTTGTTTCTCATGACGCGTGCGAAGATAGACCACTTCACGCCAGAGAACTTCGTTCTCCCTTAACATAAGCAAACAAACAAAACAACAGATTTTAATTTAGTACTTTTGTTTGATGAACAATCTTTTCATCCTGTATAAGCCTTAGTGAATTCAATGTTTCCTGAAAAACAAAATAAAATAAATAAATTAATAAACTGATTATTCCTTTGCAAGGCCATGGCTGAATGGGTGTGCATCGGAACCAGGTACCCGAGTACCCGACCGCTGATGTCAGGAACCTGTTCCAGATTACGGGATCGGGTACCCGTAACCAACATCACAAATTACTTAGTAACTTCTCAGACAATGAAAAAGAAAGTTGTTGAATGCCATTTGTGGGGACTTTTCAAAAGGAAAACCAGGCTACACAGAAAAACCAAAACAGATTTCACATTTAGCTGCATTTTAACGCATGACAGATGATACTACGAAAGTTGCAATTTATACCGTAAAGCTATAAAGCCCTTCAGACAACTTCTGGATTTGAATTTTGGGGTTGGGGTTCTTTTACGGGCATCTGGGTACCCGTGTTTTTCTTCAATAGGGTCCCCGGAACCTGTTTTTCTGTAAATGCACACCACTACATGGCTGAGCTCAGACCCAAGATGGACATATTGCAAATCTATTATCTGAAATAGCACAGCTGGTCATTGCATTCTGGCATTAACCAACATTTGCTGAGTACATCACAAATCAACCACCGAGTTGACCAATGCCCCTTGATCCAGCTTGCTCCGGATTAATCCCTTGCAAGTCCAGACTTGCAGATTAAACATCTGACAAAGAGATTATCTTGAATGGATCTTTTGGGACTTGGCATTCTAGAATTATCCGTCAACACACTAGAGAGATTTCTTTAAGAAATACAGGATGAATTGAACATATGCATGTTGAATCTATAATGTAAGAAAACTTGGTGAATTTTCTTCAACTAATACAAAATAGTGTTCATGTTGAAATCAGTGTAAATGTTAAGGAAATACTTAAAATGTTTTGACTGACCTCAATCCCAAATGAGCTTTTACAAGGCACTTTCTCTAATGTTCCTAGGGTCAATACTACACAGTAACCAAATGAAATATTTCTTTAAAACTGGGGCACAAAAATCTCACATAAACTTGAAATAAACCTAGTGCCTCCATCAAAAACGAAAGTTGGCGTTAGATATAAATGTAGTTTGGAGGATTGGGGTTTTTTATGACTCAACCATTCAAATGAAGATCCAACATCAATTTCTTACTGATGGATCTTGAAGCATTTTTCAGGGTTTCAATTTCAGCTCACCCAACAGCTCACTAAACCAACAGCTAATTCGAGTACCAACAAAAAGTATCACTGTTGGATCTTGTGGGATTTTGTGGGGTTAAGTATTCAGCTCACCGTATTGCTTAAATAGTCATTAAAACGGGAGCCAACAAATAAACCATGATCCAACAGAAATTTCTCACTTATTGCATCTTGTGGGAATTAGTGAGGTTAAGGATTAAGCTTACCCTACAAGTACAACTCAGTTTTTTTAACACAGAAACAACAGCTAACTACTGATCCAACATGAAACTCCCAATATTGGATCTAGTAGGATTTTGTAGGCTTACGTTTCAGCTCATCCTACTGCTCAGTCCTTAAAACAGAATCCAACAAATGAACCATGATCCAACAGAAATCTCTCACTGATGGATCTTGTGGGATTCTGTAGGGTTCAGTATTCATCTCACCTCTGTATAGCTTCCAGTGTGCCGCTGATGTTTTCCTGTTTGCCCTTCATGTCTTGAACATCTGTCAGAATCTGATGCATGTCTTCATATTTCAACTTGTTCTCTTCACGAGCCGACACCTACAGAGACAACACGATCATTAGGCAACATTCTAACACGACAAGTCGGTCAGACTAACTCAAACTGGCCCTAGAGGGCGTTATCCATCTCTACATAATGCAGTAATGTGTTATGCAGATGTCTGAATGGAAACACACTGCAATGGTATTATTATGCACAAGACTTATAATGGAAACTGCATAGGATAGAAGAATTGCTCCCTGAATCTATTTTATGTAATATAATCTGTTGAATGGCATGGTGCCAGACTATTTTATGATTGGAGTGCATTCCAAGCCTCACTCTAAAAAAATTTTAAAAAATTGTTTAAATATGGCTTAAAACATTAGGGTAGGTTTACTCACAAATATTAAATTATTCAACGGAGCAGACTGGTATTAATTTGTAATGAGCTTTTATTCAGGCATGCAACTGGGAATTTAGGGGAAAAAATGAGGAAACTCCAAATCGCACAAGACTTTGTACATTATTTTTCAATTTGTAATGACATTCATGAGAAGTTAAAAAAACAAGGAAATCAGTGGATCCGAGGAAAAGTTGCATGCCTGCTTATTTCATTTCTACTCGTAAGTTCCAAAAATGAAAAGTTTACCTCGCTTTCAATCTAAAATGGCTGACTTGTGAATAAAGTCTGTTACAAAAACGTACCTTTCTCTTTATATTCTCTAAAAGATCAGTTCTTCCTTTAACAAAGTTTGGGTGTTGGAACTCGATCTCATCACTGTCTAGCTTCAGACATCCGTGCTCCAGGTTGGCTTTCTTGCGAAACCCATCTGGAGAGAAAAATAAGGAAAGGTATTATGCATAAAGGACTACTCGAATGAAAATCAGGGATCACAAAGACTGCACAAAAGACATTTAATAATCTTTCCATCAAAATTTAAACGACAAAGAAAACAGAGGTTGGATGGGTCTGACCAGGAGGAACTGATTTAGTATAGAATTCTTCATGAGTTTGTGATTTTTAATTTAATTTTAATTTTTAATTTTAAGAAAATCTTGGATGCATTTGCTTTGTTGGAAAGAGTTCCATACTGGGCCACCACTCATATTCCCTAATATGACCTGAAAAGTACCAAAAGTTGTCAACCTGATGAAGAAACACTATTTAAGGAGGGCACAAATTCTTAAAATACTTGAACTTTTTCTGTCATGGCCCATAGACTTAGTGCAGGAGGTCTGAGTGGTGGCCTGGTATGGAATTCTTTCCAAATCCTTTTATGAAGTTTTTGGCTGTTTCAACTGCAAATCTGTATTAAACATGCGGATTGCGGGTACTTACACATATTGAGTTGGCGGATGAAACTGGCCATGTTGTTGTGCTTGAAGAACTTGGGCAAGATGTCCTTTGCAAAATGTGTCTGGTTTTGAACAACAAAGCTATTCCCAGACTTGTGGACAAAAAGGACAAAGGGATATTAATAGCAATACAATAGATAAAACTCACCACATTAACAAAAACAGTTCTGCTTTCGATTACATGTCTTTCAAAAAAGGGTAGTACATGTAGGTCGGCTTTGTGCAATGTGACCCCCTCATATATCATGTATCATGATGACGCAGGCTGCACTGCATCAACCAATCACCGACGGTCTACCAAACTGCTTGGACACTATTGCCAAGTTTGTTTCCAGCATTTTCATTTTTATTGTTGTCACTTTTACCCCATAATGTCCCTGAAATATCAAAACCCTGCCCAGAAAAAATGTTGCAACCTGACGCCACTTTTTTCTTCATATATCATCTCAATGAAGGTCAGTTATTGCAAAAATGATAAGACATGAATCTGGGACTGAGAAACATTTCCAATGTTGTTAGGAAATATTTTCCATTGACTTTGTACACAACCGCTGAAGTGGCGTCGGGTTGCTACATTTTTTCCCCCTGCTCGGCTCTTTCCACATTTTATAATCCGGCAGTTATTCAAAATGGTGTTGTCGTCTAAATGGAACTTTTCATCAATGAATCAGCAACGTTCTACCAAACCAGCTTGTACATTGTAAACACGTGAGGGCGCACTTTTAAAATTAGTCACCATGTTCGTGTGTTTTGTAGCTGTCGTTGACAGCGTTGTTTTACCCCATAATTTCCCTCAAAAATCAAAACCCTGCCCTCTTTCCACAAAATTAATCCTGCAGTCAGTGCAAATATACAACATGGTGTCAACGTCATCTCCTTAGGTGAATCCCAAGAAAGGGGTCCGCAACTACACAAACGCCATGATGGGGAAAGAAATGACTAGTCACTTTTGTCAGTAAGTCACGTGCACGTTGTCATGTCGTCATGTAGTCCGAGTAACTTGGACCCAACTTATCGCCTTTTTAACATTCAGACATGGTCTGGCTATAGTAGGGTCCAAGCTAATCGTTATATGCCGAGCAACACAATTCTGTCATTGACACAAAAACCCAACATTGCACAACAAAAACATTATATTTCACCCTCAAAACAACCTCCAAATTACTAGATACACCACCTGAGGTACAAGTAGACATCGATAATTAAGATGGTTGTACTGAAGTTTACTTACGATCCGGATGAAAAGTGAAATTTCCCGTTCAATTCCGAGAGCTCCCCTCGCGATCGTGAACACATACATTTCCAACTCGTGTTAATGTTTGAACGACGCAATGTGGTCTTCATGCCCAGCGTTCATTCGATGGTCCCCGTATCCCGAGTGTGATTCTGTTATCGAGCGCGCGCGATGCATCGATTATGATAATGAGAAGACTGGAGCACGTTTGTAAACACAAGTGCATTTCGAACGATAATGGGGAGTCGGGAACTAGCTTGAACTGGTTTCCGTCCATAAAATCTGCCCTAGTTCCCAACACCCTATTATCTCTCGCAATGCACCTGTGTTTACAAACGTGATCCAGTCTACTCATTATCATATTATCGATGCATCGCGTGCGCTTGGTAACCGAATCGCACTCGGGATACGGGGACCATCTAATGAACGCTGGACATGAAGACCACATCGCAATTCAAACACAAATCGGAAATTTAACGTGTTCACGATCACGAGCGGAGCTCTCGGAATTGAACGGGAAATTTCACTTTTCATCCGGATCGTAAGTAAACTTCAGTACAACCATCTTAATCATCGATGTCTACTTGTACCTCAGATGGCATATCTAGTTATTTGGAGGCCGTTTTGAGGGTGAAATCTAATGTTTTTGTTGGGCAATGTTGGATTTTTTTGTCAATGACAGAATTGTGTTGCTCGGCATATAAGGATTAGCTTGGACCCCACTATCGCCAGACCATGCATGTCCGAATGTTAAAAAGGCGATAAGTTGGGTCCAAGTTACTCGGACTAGGCCTAGTTCAGTAGTTGTCATGAAGTTGAACGTTTAGTCCCACTTGTGACTGTGTGGCCTCCGTATTGCTGCGCTGTATGTTAGGCCACACGCCTGGTTTCCCAAAATACTGAGGAGTTTAGTTCCAAACTGGCGCATATGGACTCCAGAAAGAAAGATGTCTGAATTTTTCGAAATTTTTTTTTTTAAAATATCACCTAATCTACCCGCGGGGCAAAAGATAAGAAATCATAAAATACAACCATATCAGTGGTATGTAAAAAAAAATGCCACAAAAGGGTGCGCCAGTGTTTGGAATAAACTCCTCAGTAGGTTGGGAAACCAGGCGTGTGGCCTAACGTACAGCGTGGGTCAGACAAGTCGACCGTTGAGACAACTCGACTCGGGACAAGTCAACCGTTGAGACAACTCGACCGTTGAGACTACTCGACCGTATGTGCGAAAAATGGAAAGACAAGTCGACCGTTGAGATAAGTCGACCGTTGAGACAAGTCGCCTCGCATGTTTTTGGGCCTAGTTTTGGGGATAGTACCGGGGTTTTTTACGGCGGCTGATCGCCGTTTGGGAGTTGTGATACATGAGTTTTTTTTGTTGCATATATCAGAGCCGATATAGCGCAGCGTGATTGTCCGTGCACATCGTTCGTTTTTGCCGGGCCTGTGCGCGCATCCCCGGTCAACGTGGCCGTACCGTGCACGGTGACATCATTTTTGCCGGGCCTGTGCGCGCACTTATCCCCGGTCAATGTGGCCGTACCGTGCACGGTGGCATCGTTTTTGCCGGGCCTGTGCGCCCACTTATCCCCGGTCAACTTGTCCGTACCGTGCACGGTGACATCGTTTTTGCCAGCCCTGAGCGCACTTATCCCCGGTCAACGTGGCCGTACCGTGCACGGTGACATCGTTTGTGCCGGGTCTGTGCGCCCACTTGCCGCGCCAGTCGATGTGCCCGCGTGCCGGGCCGGGCCCGGTCCTCGCGGGCGGGGCGCGCCGGCCCGACGCGACGGCCACTGGATCGGAGCGCCCTCTGTGCATCGAGTATGCCTGCGCCGCGCCCGGGACCGGTCTTGCCACAGATTTATGCAACTTTTTCCGCTCCACGTGTATAGATTTCCATTCAGTCGAGCTGCCTCAACGGTCGAGTTGTCTCGAGTCAAGTTGTCTCAATGGTCGAGTTGTCTTAGCTGGAGTTACCCAGCCCTAAATTTTATCATTGGGTTGTCATTTAGGGCTGGAGATAATTTTTCACGTAACCCAGCAGCGTAAGCAGGTCCCAAAAAAAATTGCGGAAGCGCAACACCCGATGACTGTTTCATGCACTAATATGAGGTTTACCACTCGCATCACAGCTGCGGTAACGGGGAAAGCCGAAACGTGTTTCTGGTAACTGGCGCGAAAAAACGCTCGGTCATTGGATTAGCGACCGCGCCTTCAAGTAAGTGCGCGTGCGTATGAGGGTGGTTACTAAGCAAATCGCGCGTGCGCACTGCATATTCATGCTGCATAGTCTGGCCCCCGGACCAGACGTGATATGAGCGTCGAGAATAATTGTCCGGTCTAGGGAACCAGACTACACGCTGCACAGACGTACATCATGTACGACTAGAATAGACTCGGCGGTGAGAAACTGATGAAAAGAGTCTACAAACACGTACAAGTTTAACGTTGCTTTCGAGTTTATTTTCCAGATTAAGGTCGGTCAGCATCGCATATGGAATTCCTGAACCCAGCGGCCCAATAGATAAGGACACATAGAATACTACGACGTAACAAATTGGCTTCTCCAACAAGGTAAAAATATTAAAAATATTGGTCATAAATTTTTTTCGCCTGGTTTTGAGCACTTCATACCCTGGACTCCCTCCGTTACGTAGGGAGGAAAGGGAGTCCACCTGGGCTAGCAACCGATAGTGCATAAAACAGTCATCGGGTGTTACGCTTCCGCGTGACGTCATGCGCCAACAGCCAGCGCAGCCGGCAAAAACGACTAGTATCAGCGCGCTGTGCATGGTATCGACCGCCATTCATTGTACACAATTTTTTGTGTGCACAAACCAATTGCGGTCCTGGTTAGCGCTTATTCCTCCTGTTTTCACTGCAATTGTAGGCTGAATCTTCATCGTGGATCGTTTTTTACTTCAAGGACCTGTGTAATGGTTATTCCAGGCAAGTTTGGGGTGAGTTGCAGTTGCAATTAGTGTGTAACGGGGACAAAATTGAACATTTTCGAAATTTGAACATTTTCGCAATTTTTTTTGGGACCTGCCTACGCTGCTGGGTTACGTGAAAAATTATCTCCAGCCATAAATGACAACCCAATCATTTAGGGCTGGGTAACTCCAGCTAGAGTGGTCTCAACGGTCGACTTGTCTCAACGGTCGACTTGTCTCGAGTCGAGTTGTCTCAACGGTCGACTTGTCTCAGCAATAGGGAGGCCACACGGCCACACAAGCATGACAAGCATGACTGTTTGCAAACTTACGGGACCCCATCCAATGAGTTCATCGTTCGTCGCATCATCAACAAGCAGCCACAGCTTGGCCAAAAAACCTGGAACATTCGAGCTGGGAAGATTCGCTTCCTTCTTTTCCATGGTGGACTGCAATATTACGTCGATTTCTGGGAAAATTTAACCCACGTCCTCTGCGATGAACGCCATCTTGAATTGAAATTGTCCCGTTTCATGCATTTAATATCCGCGATCCGAAGTCCGATGTGTGCGATCCCCGGCCCCGGCCATTTTCGTTGGACAATTGTATCAGTAGGGAAGTTTGTCTACGCAACTTACCTACGATTAAAATATAATTTTAAAACAGCTGACAATATTTATCTATATTGTGTTATTATAGAAAATATTTTGTACAACTACACATTCGAATTTCTTACGGAATTAAATATCAATTACCATTGTAGTTAATTAATTACCCCTATTTTATCAAATGGTATGTTCTATGGATAGTGCGTACGTGTCGTAAAGGAGAGCTGTACGTGACCAACTTGTCGGACGGGCAAAATGGCAAAATGTATTGCTTGCTATGCTATGGGAACGAGGATGCTACGACATCGCAGGGGGTACGTAGACTGGTCGGCTCGAATAGAAGTCATGTGGAAGTTGGATGATCGGATGGAAGATCCAGCAAATCGACGTGACACCCGAGTTAACTCGTACCCAAGTCAACTCGTACTCAACTCGTACCCGAGTCAACTCGTACCCAGGTTAACTCGTACCCATATGACTCGTACCCGAGTCAACTCGTACCCAAGTCAACTCGTACCCATATCAACTCGTACTTTCCTCCTCATTTTTTTGGGGGGGGGGGAGTACAAATGGCCGGTTAACAAAAAAATCTGAATTTACCCTCAAAAACGGCGACAGAAATAGTTGTTAAGCCACCAGAAATATAAATCAAGTTTGAGGTTTAATTAAAGGCGGTGGTATCATCACATGTTACTCACAATCTGGATGAAAAGGGAAATATTTGTACCATTCATCGGCAAGGGCTCCATCGCGAGTACCGCGTGGAGAACAGTTTCAAATTGGTACTCGCCAATCGACGGAGCCCTCGCTGATAAATGGTAAATTTCGCTTTTTCATTCAGATCACCAGATGTTATTTAAATCTATGTAGCATTCTTTGTGAGTGATGATGTTATTTTTTTTTCAGAGACCTTGGATCACTGAGATCGGCGGAGTGAATGTGCGAAACTTCTATAGGCCTACTACGTCTTTTATTTTTCAGCCGACATTTTTTTTTCTTTTTACGAATTCAGTATTCAAGACATTTTTTTAAAAAGAAAGTCGCTTTTTAAAAAGGAATTTTGTAATGTAAAAATAAAATATATTCACAATGTTCACTCACTCAATTTTTTGGCCCTGAAAGTACATCAAATCTGAAGAGAAAATAGTTATGTTACACGAAACTTAAATGAGTCACACAGACGTCATTATTAAATTTATAACGATTCTTCAATATATTGGTAGTTTTTTTACAATTAGTTCGGTAAATGTCGTAAAAAAATTCTTTTGCAGCTCAAATTAGGTTTCTGCGATAAGTTCAAGTAGAATATTAATTTGGTAACAGAAAGTTAGGATTTTTAATTATTTGTTCACTTTTGAGGCATCAAGGATCGAAGTACATGTAAAACGACAAAGGAAAATGGTGGCTCAATTCCGTTCAGAGATGCTCTTTCTATACGTTTTTTTGGGAACAATTTATTGACTGATCCTTGGGTGTGAAGGATTATTCGGACATTAGTAAATTGTAATTCAAGTGCAAGAGAAAGTTTTATCTTAAACAAAACTGCTAATCGGTTTTCTTTTTTGCGAGAAGTTTCGTCTTAAACTTGACATCCGATTCGATTCATCATGAACTGCAGACCATCCGATCGATCAGTAGAAAATTCATCGGAAAACCACAGGATCATCTGTAAAATATATACAAAATAAAATAAAGTGATAAAAGCATGCATAGTTTGGGTAAAAAATGTACTTGAAGTGTGAAAATCGGCCCCGTATTAAATATGTACAACTACAAGTACACCAAGGCCTAATCATAGTGATGCCGTTGAAAAACGGCGGGTTCCGATATCAACTCAGTGCGCAACGGCAAAAACCCCGTGCACGTACAACCTTTTTGACCCGGCGAGTGCGCGCTGCACAGGCCTGGGAAAACGATGTCACCGTGCACGGAACAGCCACGTTGACCGGCGAGTGCGCGCACAGGCCCGGCAAAAACGATGTCACCGTGCAACCGGCAAAATCCGATTATAAAAGCTCCGTTCGTTTCACAGATTTTCTTTTCGAAAATAGGCAGCTATTTTGAGCTGCGGGTACGAGTTGACCCGGGTACGACTCGAGTCGGGTACGACTTGAATCGGGTACGAGTTGACTTGGTGAATTTAGGGGTACGAGTTGACTCGGGTGCGAGTTAACTCGGGTACGAGTTGACCAGTTGACCCATTTCCGACAGCGCCATCTATTGTTGATAAACAGATCGTAAAACATGTCAAAATGGCTGCCAATGTTTCAGTAAGTTCTCCTCTTTTTTATTTGATGGTTTCTTCAACTGTAACTATCTGAGTATAAATATCATTTGACGAGGGCATACCAGACTATTGTACTTAAGAAAAAGCATAAAATAGAATCTCATTCCACTTCCAGGCCTAGTGTAGTGATTTAACTTTTGTAAATGAACTGTCGTGCGAGATCGCAACACCGTGAACACGTAAATGAGACAGGGCGCCCTCAATTACTGAGGACAGGTTTTGTATTTTTGTAATAACAATTAACATTTTAGATTCAGTGACTGTGTTTCTCTAAAAGTTGGGAGTGTCACTCACACTGTGGTTACAAAACTTTCGATTTGTATTTGGCAATGGCTGTATCTCTAAATTCTGAATTACTTGGAAGCAAACAAATATTCGAACAATTTGGGCTCGAATTGACGCAAGTCGTGTCATACAACTGAACGTTCCTGAAGCAGAAGAAATGCATCAGAATTTAGACCCGTGAACATGGCTATATCCACACTCCTGGTCCATTCCTACCATTTTCCTGCGTGCATGACTCGGAGTGCCAACATGGCCTCAGAAAATCAAAAGATAAACTTGTACATTTATTGTGGTGTCAAGGGGTTTTTTTCCCCCTCAAATTTCTTGGCAAACTTGCAAGATCCTACACTCGCATGAATTTACAGAAAGCTTTGTATGCATGTAGTTATAATACTTGTGAAGTGACGTGCCGCGTGACAGATTTGAGTGTATTTACGTGAGGACGGAGCGTGGCATTGTTTAGAACACCACGGTCACAGGTCTAATCAGAATTTAGCAAGAGTTCCTAGAAGCAGGGGCCTAACATCTTCTTGGCCGAAGACAAAGCTGGAAAATTAAAAAGGCCCACAGAGGACCCCAAACCATGTCTAATGTGAGGGCGCTCTGGGCAAGCTGTCTAGTTTGGTTCAGTTAAATTGAAGTTTTTTGACACACGCCATAACCTAGGCCTACATGTTTTGCTGAAACTGAAAGCCTGCCTATATTATAAGCCACTTTAGAGTTACTACTACTGCACATGCTCACATCAGATTCAACGATTTAGTTTTGTGGATAAACAGTTTGCCATGCGCATGCAAAATTCATAGCAGGGTACCAGTGAAATCAAAGGAAAATTTAGTTTTGAAGTAAATGACTGTCAGCATCAGTGTTGTACTATAGTCAAATCCATCACAAGTCCTTCTGTCATAATTCAAATCACAAGCTATTCAAATGAACTGTGACAAAGGCATTCCTTTGTTATTGTTCATCCCCTGTTACTTGTGACTGGACTTGTGACTGGACTTATGACTGGACTTGAGATTTACTTGTGACAAGACTTGCGAATAGACTTGATGAGACTTACTTGTGAATACACTTGTGATTTAGTTGTGACTGGACTTGCGAATAAACTTGAGATTTACTTGTGAATACACTTGTGATTTACTTGTGACTGGACTTGTGACTGGACTTGAGATTTACTTGTGACAGGACTTGCGAATGGACTTGAGATTTACTTGTGAATACACTTGTGATTTAGATGTGACTGGACTTGCGAATGGACTTGAGATTTACTTGTGACTGGACTTGTGAAGTTGTGATTAAACTTGTGATAAGACTTGTGATTTTGCTGTGACTGGACTTGTGATTTACTTGTGACTGGACTTGTGACATGACTTGAGATTTACTTGTTGCTTGAGATGTACACACTGTACTTGTGACTGGATTTGTGACTGCACTTGTGATTTAGTTGTGACTGGACTTGTGATTTAGTTGTGACTGGACTTGTGATTTAGTTGTGACTGGACTTTTGAATAGTCTTGTGATTTACTCGTGACTGGACTTGTGACTGGACTTGAGATTTAGTTGTGACTGGACTTGCGAATGGACTTGAGATTTACTTGTGACTGGACTTGTGAAGTTGTGATTAAACTTGTGATTAGACTTGTGATTTTGCTGTGACTGGACTTGTGAATGGACTTGTGATTTTGTTGTGACTGGACTTGTGACTGGACTTGTGATTTACTTGTGACTGGACTTGTGACTGGACTTGAGATTTACTCGTTGACTTATGAATGGACTTGAGATGTACACACTGTACTTATGACTGGACTTGTGACTTGGACTTGTGATTTAGTTGTGACTGGACTTGTGATTTAGTTGTGACTGGACTTGTGATTTAGTTGTGACTGGACTTGTGATTTAGTTGTGACTGGACTTGTGACTGGACTTGTGAATAGACTTGTGATTTAGTTGTGACTGGACTTGTGATTTAGTTGTGACTGGACTTGACTTGTGAATAGACTTGTGATGGACACTGCTCAGGATTATTTTTCACAATCTTTCTTGTTCACAGGAATCACCAGGCCAGCCACCTGGAGAACATGTCGCTGAAGGCCACTCACCATCGGAACCGAAATCAGTAGAAACATGCGAGAAATCCAGTGGTGAAAACAGCACTGTTGAGCTCCGTGAAAAACAAACCAAAGGTAATATACATTTTGTAAAAGACACACAGGATATGTTATTCTATGTCTTGTTTGATGACACAATGTTATAGTTCTTTTACTGCACAATGTTGTTGAAACTGGTTGGAGTCGGACAACTGCATTAGGATTTTGGTTACAAATCATAATTGTCGTAAAAAAAATTTTAAACTTATATTTTCATTCAGGGCAAATGTGTAACCGTCAAAATGTACAAACATTTCTTTAAATTTTGGAATTTAGAGCTACATGCACACACCTAAGAAAATTAAGCGCAATGGGAAGTCATTCTTATTCTGTTATTGTAGTTGTAAAAATGTGTCTCTCATTACCAAGGTACAAATGACATGATTGCTTAGTCGTTTATTTGGTCATTAATTATTCAGTCATCATTCATATGTTTGTCTTGTGTTTGTTTTTCAGAAAAGCAGCCAACTCCAATAATATGCAGTCCGTCAAAGTCAAAGCGTAAACTGGATTCATCAGAGGGACATGACGACAGCACATGTGATCCGCAGCTGGAAAACTTGTGCCGCAAGAAGTTCAAACCTATCGCTCCCAAGCCAACGGTCAAGAAGGACCACCATCAATCAGTTGTCACGGCAACCGTTCCCATCAAGGATGTAAATCATTCGGATTTCGGCTCTTCCTTCTGTGTGACCAAAAGTGAGAGCAGGAAAGGAGCAGTCATGTTTGTGAGTCCTAAAGTGCAACTGATTCCTAGCGTACCAATCATAGCTCATGCACCGGCGCTGAATGGTGAAACGTTGTCCTCAAACGGCTCTCCATTCTCGATGACTGTTCCCCTGCTTCCACACGGCAAGTACCTGAATATCATGAATCCACCTGCACGGGTTGCAATGACGGATATTGCTGGTCACTACAAAACAGTCGTTCAGCTGTTACCGAATGGTTCCAGTCATGGTTGTCTCCAGCCTACCAGCTTAGTGTCAACCAAGAGCAATCTGAACAAAGCTAGTGTTTATACTGGTTCTTCCAAAACAGCATCAGTGAGAAGTGAACCCTGCCAGGGTAAGAATGGAATATCGGCGAACAAAACTTCCAAAACAAAAACAGTATCCAAACCCAAAGCAAGTAGATACAAGTACAGCCTCCTGATGAACGGAGGGTCTTATGATAGCAATATTGTAACAACTACAACTGCATATAACCCCAAACCCCAAACCTGTATAACACCTGCGGTCTCCTTAAATGGTGGTGTGCGACTTAACCTACCCGCCGTGTTAACAAGCTCAGGAATCCTCCAGATAACTGTCCCCAGTGTTGGCATCGCTAACGGGCAGGTGCAGTTCTGTGATGTTCCTCCACCTGCTGATGTTGTACATACTCAATCTAGTGTTGCACAGACTACAACTAGTGTTGCACGGACTACATGTACCACAGCACAGTCTGTTAATGTACCAGGCATTACACGTACATTAACCTCCACAGTGCAGCCAGTGATTACAACAAGTGCCCCAATCACTTCAACTTCCAATAGATTAACTCAGTCTAATGTAACTGAGCAAACCACTGTAGCCAACACAAATGGCATGTCTCTTGATGAGACTCTCAGAGTTATGCTTAGGAGCCCCAGATCAAATGTCTCCAAGGATAGGCAGAAAGAAACTTGTCAAACCAAGAAAACGAAACCAAATAGGACCGGTGCTTCCACTACCAAAAGTCGCAGCAAAGGACACAAGACACAAACATCTGCATCTCTTGCCTCTTCAGTGAGAGGAAGCAATAACGCGCATCGGAAAAGTGGTGGCAGAAGTGGGATAGCTAATTCTGTATCCGGTCTTGTTGCAGAGGAATTCCCATCACGTCCTGTTGACAGTGTTCAAAGAACAGTACCGAGTGGATATGTATCAGAACAAAGAAATACCGGAGCGACTACAACAGGTCAGACTGTGCAATACAGACAAGCAGATATCGGAGCAAATACCACGACGGAAGAGATAGCACTAGGCCAAGGTGAGATACCAAATCACAGGATTCAGGATGTTAGACCTTCAAGTAATGTCGCAAATTGTGACCCAGAGTCCACAGTACATTCAGTAACGAGCTCAGTCTTGACAAGTACAAGTACCAGCGATTTTTCAAAGCGACTTGTAGACACATCAGTTTCTGCACCTTTGGCTTCTGAGGTACATGAACCAATCACCAATATGCCTTCGCAGAACCTTGACTATGTAAGACAATCCACTCTGCCATTAAATGTAAGTACATGTACAAGCAATAATTTACCAAGCTCTATCAGGACAGTGAATGACCAGTGGCCGAGGACTATCACAACTGCTCAAAGAGCCTCCAGTTTGCCAAATTTTGCAACAGGACCCAGAGGCTTTTTCACAAGCACAACAACCGCACCGCTTGTTATGTTTAATGTTCCACAAGCAGTGAACTGTTTAGCCCAACAAGGACTCCAGGATGGTGTTGCTGTTCCCTCAACAGTAAACTTTCAGCCTGTGCCAGCATTGCCCAAGTCCTCCACTGTACAATCTATGCAATCTAAGCAAACCACTAATTTTGCAGCGACCCCCACCACGTTTGTTTCTCTTAATCAAAGTGTAACTGTGTCGGAACCTAATTCAAGAACAGTCTTCAGTTCTAGTACCTGCAGTGGTGTGATTGGCAGAAACGCTCACAGTCACATGCATAGAAACTCATCAGTGCTTCGATCCCACGATGGAGGTCATCCTGGATCAACTGTTGAATCCTTGCAGATGCCTAATGAAACTATCAGGCCTCATGGTAACAGTCTAAATTCTTCACATCAAACAGCTAGTAACCAAAGACCACATGCAAACTCCCATACAGCGGTAACTTACTCCCACAACACAGTGACATCAGTGCAGAGTGGAAATTGTGGCTTCCCTTCGACCTTAAGTGGCTCCAGCAACACAACTGTGCCGCCAACCCTACCTACACCTCCTGTACCACATGGAACCTACCAGCCAGAGGTCAGTAGACCAAGACTAGCACATGATTCTGGATCATCTGTTAGGGATGATAGAGGTGTTGTATCAGCACGAAGGCAACTCAAGCTTCCTGATGAAAATCCCAGAACCATGCATTCTGAGATAAATGCTGGCATTGGCAGTGTAGGACACAATCAACCAAACAGTGGTTTACCCTCAGCGATTACAATACAGACTGATCATGAGCCTGTTGTGCCAAGACCGAATGTGGAAACATCAGTCCCAAGACCAAATGGACTTCATGCTACCTCCTTAGCAAATGTGAGACCTGAGCAAAGCTTTTTCACTCCGCCTCTGCCTGTAGTTCCCCACCATGCGGGCATCTTAGCAACAGCAATACTCCGATCAAGAGCCCTTGAGAGGAATCCTTGGGGAATTCCTGGCCTGAATGTGAGCACTCCCTCAGGTGTTCCTAACACTGGCCTAGCACAGCCAATGACAGTGACCCCTAACACGAGTGCGGGATTCTTCAGGGTCACTCAGGCTGTTAATGCAACAAGTTCAACCACGACTAACATGCATCCTACAGATCACAGGCTTCACTTAAGACAAGCAGCAGGAATGCCTTCATCTGTGGAAAGATGCGTGGATAGAGAAATCCAGAACTGGCCTGCCACTACTGAAGGCATTCTCACAAGACAGGAGGGAAACAGTTTGCCTGGAACACAAGCTACACAATTACCTCTTGAGAGACCAGGAAGCATGGTAGCAACCCCTCCTGGCTTTACTGGGGGTGGAAGTACAGATCAAGGAATCAACAATCCTGTCACAACAGAATCAGGAGATCAGGTCCAAAACATACAAGGCCATGTTCAGTCAGTTCCACTTCATAGTAACATCCCACCTACTGCAAGAAACGCCGTGAATGAGGCATTGCAGAGACGAGCCAGGAACCTTCGTATGCATCCCCCGAGGTCAGAGACTTCAAGCTCTGTTGGCAGTACACAGAGTCACATCAGCAGCGTGATAGTCTCCTCTGTACAGGAGGGGAGCATCTCAACTGGAACCCAACCGTCTCATCCTGTTGCTGATAGGACAGAAATGACAAGTCATGATTCTCAGCATGAAACAAGAGGGCATCCTAGACAAGAGTCGCTATCCCATCAACAGCCCTCACAACACATGCATGCTGTATCTAGTGCACGGGTGCCTTCAGAATCCATGTCTCATCTACCAGTGCCACTGATGCCGCCACCATCTGTCTTGTATGGAAGCTCCACTCCAGTGCCTAATATTTCCATGACCCCTCTCCATGGAGTGCCACTTCCAGGGTCTCTGTCTGCTCATTCTGTCCAGGGACATGGAATGAGTCATCAGCTCCATGCCACACCACCACCCGCACCCCATCATGGGCAGGCCACAGGACCAAACCCACAGGCACCTGTTAATCACATGTTTGTACCCACCCCATACGGACCTATTCACCGTTCTCTTTACATGCCACCACCAAGTCCACACCCTCCGGATCTCAGTCTCATGTCTCCGAGATCCTATGGGCAAGTCCACGTGCATGACAGTGTGTTATACAGCCCTCGCTTCTCATCCCCAATAAGGAACTTACCAGGATCTAGCTTGGCTGAAGGAATGTTTGGGACAGCATTGTCAAGAAGCTTTTCCGATGACCGACTGGACACATGCTGTTCTGGCCCTTACTCTCACTCCCCACCGATCCATGACAATTCAGGTCACATGTTCCCACCCGGTTTCATGTCGCCATCGATGATGAACAGAAATCAGCCAGCTTTACAAACAAGTCTATGCAACTCACATCAGCGGCTGTTCAATCATCGTGGCCATCAAGGCACACCTGACAGATATCCTGGCCCATTCTTCCATGATGGCATGAGACAACCAGCTCCTCATCAAAACCATGCACCTGTAACACAGGCCAGTAGCTTCAACCCTACACCCAGTGCAGTAGTTGATACAAGTAACTCTCTAGACTCTAGTGTTTTAGTAAGTGTGGCATCTTCATGTATTCCACCACAGCAGACGAGTCTTGGGAACTCATTGCCTGTGAGCACACTCAGTCCAACGTCCTCATCTACATCAGCGACAACTCCAGGAAGCACAGCATCCTCAAGCGTGAGTGAGAACTCAGCATTGCCACTAACACCCACTAGCTCTTGCAGTACCACCCCAGTCAGAGTGCTCAACGTAGGAAACACAAGTGATAAATACCTTCCTCTGGAGCTTGTAGTGTCATCACCGCCCACAACAGTCACCACATCTGCATCAGTGACCACACTCCCCGTACAACTCGGCAGTGAGCAGATTGTCAAGTTTGGTGACGTCATGCTGGAATGCAGTCGCCAGATTCTGAGGGAATCCGGTCGCACAGTGCTCTGCTGCTGGGGTTGCGACTATCACACTGCCGAACCCAAGAAAATGTACAGGCATCAGCGGCGTGATGAACAGCCAATGAAATGCCAGCTTTGTAGTCACATGGGTGTCTCTCGTTGTCAGCTAAATCAGCATTTTAAGGATGTTCACATGGATAAAGATGAAGACCCATTTAGAACATCTGCTGTGCCATGATGAGCCTTTGTCCATTATCGTCACCTAAGCATGCGTTTCAAGAAGTAGTTAAAAAAAACCTGATAAGTTGAGAAACCAGAGACATTATCTCATTTGTTTATGTTCCTTTGGATGAACAAAAGGTTTACTGTACAAGTCCTGTGTTAGTAGTTGAAGTTCTGTAAAATTTGCATGTACCAGCACTGAAGATTTTATAAGCCATTCAAGATCAAATGTGCCCCAGATCATTTCATATACTTTCAAGGCTTATTGTAACGATTTAGCAACTTTTTTTTGTTTTTGAAAATGCATATCAAATAATATTCAGAAGTCTACTGTATACTTTCTTTAATGTATGCTGTCATGCTTGCACAAACTCAGTCCACAATGAAATTGTTTCTAATAGGGAGGGAATAGCTACAGGTGGTTTATATGACTCTCACAATATGTAGAGCCTCCCCCTCACCCCTCCTCAGTCCAGATTTCCGAAGGTTTGTGAATTCATGAAACAAATCAGGCCCTTGTGTTTGGTTAGTAACCAAAAAATGATCCCTCCAAAGTTTCTGCACACTAGCATTTATTGAAAAATGTATAAGATGTATCTTACATGCTCAACAGTTTAGGGGTCTGTAGTTCTTAAAAGCTGAAACAATTCTGATAAACATTCAACACAAATTTGATCTTGAATTAATTGATTAAAACAACCTTTTTTTCTAAACATAGACTTTTCATTACCCGTGAATCGATATTCAAATTTTTTTCTATGGCTGTTTTATAGGAAAGAACGTTTCATGAGGATTTTCTGGTACTTAACCAATGTGTATATGTACATGATCTGTTTTAAATTTTCTTTAACTTTGTGTAATTATGTGATTTTTTTGAAATTTTAAACATATAATTAAAAGAGGCAGCTGAAATAGTTTTAATAATTTATATTCATTACTTTTCTGTAATCAAAACTTTTGAATCAAATTGTACATACTGATTAATCCAATACCATGTAAGAAATGGAACAAAAAAGAGTATTTATGCACCAAACCAAGTTTGTATTTTTCATGTTTGTTGATATTTTTTATCTTCTGAAGAAGAGTTTTTAGAACAAATTGTTTACTCCTGTTAAGCTTTTTCATACAAAATGTACACATGTAAATTGGTTCGTTTTCTTTTTTTTATTGTTAAAAGTTCAAATTGTGTGGTTCAATTCAGCCATTGTTGTCTGGGTTCCACAAGTTCAAGACATTGCTCATATGAAGTTTGTTCAAGTATCGTTGGCACCAGCCTCATTTAGGCGTCAAAGACTTCAAGATGATAAAACCAAGCTTACTCAGGGGTGAGGGGTGTGAGTGGCCACTGATAAAAATAGCTGAAAACAGCTGAAAAAGGTGTAAAAAAAAGCTGAATTTGGAAATCTCTATATATACTTTTGTATACAGCAAGTGAGCGGAAAAAAAGCTGCAATCATCTTTAAAGCTGAGATTTCACACCTCTGTCAGCAGCAGAAACCATCTACTTAAAGACTTTGTGGAATGATGAATGAAAGAGAAAGAAAGAAAGAAAGATTTACATGCAATTACATGGATCAGACTTTATTAAGTGTTGTGAGAGAAGTGGTGGAAAAACTTTGAGCATTTGATTTATTTAGTGTGCATGTATTTGGGAGATCTCACATCCTACATAACAAAATTTATCCCGTTTTTAATATATTTTGATATTTGCGTTCTACTTCCAACAAGTATTGTACATGTAGTTGAGTCCATCACAAGTCCATCACAACTCAATCACAAGTCATTTGGTCTCAAGTCGTGGGAGTTTATACAGGAGGCCAGAAACTTTGTTCATCCCTTATTACTTGTGACTGGACTTGTGAAAGACTTGTGATGGGCTCGACTAATTCAACACTGCTTCCAACCTTAGATGCAGATATCACATTGGTTCAGATTCTGTTAGATCCCTGACATTTCTCTCTGCAAAAGGCATGTTACAAATTGCTCCCTCTTTGTCCGATGCAGACTGTGTGGAAGTGCATTAAAAGAAGTCATATCCAGAATTTCAGAAAGAGATTCATATTTGAGTGGTCTACTTATAGTTTTGTCTGAATGCCTGTACGTTGATTATATCTTAATTCAAAGGGACAGTGTCTAATGAATTTTCTTAAATCTATGAGGGCCCTCAGAAATGCCAACATGGGTGTCGCAATGCACCTCTATCAGTTGCTATATCATCAGGGGATCCTTGGCCGGGTGAAAATAGTGAACGTCCCCCCACCACTCCAGCGCATACATGGTTCCGCCCCTGAAAATTCATCTGAAGTTATATCGCTGGTAGCCGGCGTGTGTACGATACGGCGATATGTGCTAGTCCATTTACCAATGCGTCTCACGCATGAGATCCAAATTTGGACAGACGACGTTCTCGTTGACGAATCGTTTAAAACAAGTCGACAAGAAATACTTCTTTCATCACATTCACAGCTAGCTGCGACACAAGAAAATAATACTGCTAGGTAAAGCTTGGAATCGTGGTAGTTATTATCCCAAAATATCACGTTTTAGATGCTAAAATATGTTATAGGCCCCCCTATTTATATAAATGATGATATTTTTTGTGGGCCGAGTCAAATCATTGCATCCTTTTCGTGAAAAGAGATTCAATGGTTTTTAAATAGGTAGTGGATATTTTGCCGGAGGTAATGACGGCAAACTAACGATTACTAAAGGTTTGCCGGCGGCAATCCATATCAACAGAGGGCGCTGTACTCTTTAAAATAGGGCTGAATTATAAGATGTATTAAATTCCCACCAAAAGTTGTGTAGCACGTTTGGTGTAGTGGTTAAGCAAAGGCTGTAGTAAGCGGGATGACTCGCGTTCGATTCCGACCGCACCACATTTTTAAGTTTTTTTTTTCTCATCCCCAAATAAATAAGAATATTCTTCTTTTATTATTTTAACATGTCTCAAACATTTTTTGCAGAGTAGGCTATTACATTTTCTTTTACAGATTTGTGGCTCTGGAGGATTTTTTTAAAAAAGGAAATAAAGTCCGAAATTATAAAATGGTCTGAATCCCATCTTGTGAATACGAAAATGTTAAGAGTACAAAAAAACAGTAACTGCGCATGTTCAGTGCATATCCGGCAAACTAACGTTTACTAAAGGTTTGCTGTCTCCGGCAAAATATACACTGCCTTTTAAATAGGTCTATTTCTACACCATTTTTGTTATGTTTTAAATGTTTGGGTCCGATTTGCTTTAGAATGCTTGAATTGAGTATATTTTCGGTAATAGTGTAGTGAGGACAACTCCTTTTTTTTTTGTACTGGTTCCGTTCAAAAATTACTCTTACAAACATGACAAATGACTTGACTGTCAAATTTTACCCCCCAAAACCAAAAGAAAAGTTTTGCAGCCAATGCAGCCCCAAGCATGCAGTCATTTTTATAGATTACCTTTTGCTTTTGTAATTTTGCAAAATGTGACTTTCTTGCCTGTTCACTTAGAGATGTGCGAGTCAAAGCAGTTCAGGCACTGCATTGCTCTCATAATTTTACCCCATATGCCTACATGTAATTTTCCTCATAAATAAAAACCCTTTTCGACAAAATTAAGCCTGCTGATATATGACATTCAATTTGGTATTTTAGCAAACTAGTACTAGAACTAGAAGAAGAAAAAAATTACGGAAAGAATGTTGCAACCTGCGGCCACTTTTTTCCTTCATATATCATCTCAATGAAGCCTGAACATTGCAAAAATGATGATAAGACATGAATCTGGGACTGAGAAACATTTCCAATTTTGTTAGGAAATGCTTTCTGGACTCTCCATAGACTTTGTACACAACCGCTGGAGTGGCATCAGGTTGCAGCATTCTTTCCAAAATTACTTTTCCTGCTGATAACTATTTAAGTAAGTCCCAAAACATAAAAGTGTCTTTTCGTTCTCTTAAAAAAGTTAAAGTTATATAGAATGGGGTCCTAAAACTACATGATAACCATATTTTCTTTAGGCCTATATCAATTCCATTATTCGTTTGCAAGTCATTTTAGATTAGTGTAGCCCTATATCAAATTATCCTGAAACCTGTTCTTTACTGCTGAAGTTGTATTATGTCATATTGTGTCAATTTTGTAGCAATAGATTGAAATTTTTTAAACGTGATAAAAAGAAATGAATTGCCAGTAATGATCACCCAATGTTTATTGGACTATTTATTCTCATCTCTCCCACAGGTCGTCCAATGCAGCTGGAACTGTTGACGTTTACTTCAACCCCAGAAATACATGATGGCGTCAGAGAAGTTTGATCCGTTGGTGGAGAGCTTGGAACGTTTCATTGAGAACACTCGACAGCTAGGAATTATTGTCAGCGACTTCCAACCGCAGGGACAGATCACGCTCAACCAGAAACTGTAAGAAGCAGTCAGAATTCAGTTCGAAACTTTGGGACTCTCAATACTGTGGATGAGGGTCCCAAAACTTAAAGAGGTTGTGGAATGCTCGAAGACATTTCCGTCATTTTTCGGGTATTTGTAGCCTAAGGTGTGATGAAATAAAAACGACTATTGTTTCTGTCTTAAAATGAGTACAAAAGGTACTTTTGAGAGCTGTTTTTCAAGTCCTATCATGCCTGTTTCAACCCAAACGTGCAATTTGTGTAAAAGTCGTTGTTGCGGGCAGCAAACATAACACAGTAAATCGTGACGTAATAAACAGGACTCCCGATGCAGAGTAGCATAAACAAGTCCTGTTTATTACGTCACGATTTACTGTGTTTTGTTTGCTGCCCGCAACGACGACTTTTACACAAATTGCACGTTCGGGTCGAAACAGGACCTGAAAAATAGCTCTCAAAAGTACCCTTTGTACTCATTTCATGACAGAAACAATAGTCGTTTTTATTTCATCACACCTTAGGCTACATATACCCAAAAAATGACGGAAGTGTCTTCGAGCATTCCACAACCTCTTTAGGATAGTAAAAACATGCAACACAAGAAAATAGACTGGCACATGAAACAACCAGTCCAGCACCCCTTCAGTACTGCATCGATTAAATGTGTCAACAGAAACATCTGGTACCTAATCTCTATTTCTACACACTCTCAGTAGTCATGCCACCAGACTACTGATGGGTCAATCTTTTCAAACAATTGGACATGTACATGTACCAGTCTAGTAGGCTTCAAATTGCAATCACTTGGCTTCACTCTCAGGTGCAAAATGTTGAAGAAAAGTCTCCATTGAAAATTGAATTGAGACCTCAAACTTGGCTGGTGAAATACTGAGGATCTTGTCTTTGCCTATATTATTACTGAAAATTTTGGAGGATTTTGTCTGCTAAAGAGTGCTTAAAGTTGGCCTGATTTTGTTTTGCATGTTTTCTGCGATCAGGATCACAGTCTGAGCCTAACTCAACATCAGAAGTCAAAGATGTTTCTTTTAGTCTTAACTGTCTTATTGTTGGTTTGACTTCAAGGCACACCCTGGTGACTGGCTTGCAAGAGATGGAGAAGACAAAGGCACAGGTTCAAGATGTTCAAGTTCCCTTGGAAGTCTTTGAGTGAGTAATAAGATATTAAAAATGGGTCTCAAAACCTTTTCCCCTAAGAAAATGCCGCAGACGCAGTGTTGTAGTAGAGTTACTTGATGAGTCACAAGTACATCAAAACTCCAGTCACAAGAAACAGTATATGAACAATAACAAAGGAATGCCATTGTCACGGTTCATTTGAATAGCTTGCAAGTTGATTAAGGACTGGATGACTTGCAACGGACTTGTAATGACTTGTGATCATCATAAGTGCCTTGTCTAGAACACTGAAATGCAGCCATTTTCTATGTGGAACTTTTACTTTACAATTATTTTTCTTATGTGCTTTATGCTTCATCAGACAATAAATATTTCATTTTGAGGAGTTTTTTTTTTTTTAATTTTGTGGCCTTTAGTTACATTGACCAGGGTCGTAACCCTCAGCTGTACACCAAAGACTGTATGGAGAAAGCTGTCATCAAGAACGAACAAGTCAAGGGCAAGATTGAGACATTTTCTGTAAGTTTTAGTAACCTGACTCAAACTCAAGAGGATAAATTCTGAGATTAGTTTTGCATTGTTTTGTACTCGTCTGCTTTTGCGTGTGACCAGGGTCAGAATTCCTCAGACATGGATAATTGTGTAGAAAGTGATTGGCTGTGACTGGTTGCAATTTATGTCAGATAATGAAAAAAAACCTTCAAATTCTTGTGAAATATAATGAAAATTGTCACTGTTGATTGATTAAAAAAAAAGAGTTGTTATTGGTTTCCTTAAGGACAACCATTTTATTAACTATTAATGACATTGAATTTGCGTCGGGGTGATGTAAATTCCCTATTGGGTTTTGCCCTTCACCGACGTATTTTGTAAACATTATATACTCAAATTGTTCCTGAGTAATTGTGAGAAGAAATCACTCGGGTGGGACTCGAACCCACGACCTCCTGCTTAAGTTACTAGTGCAGATGTCTCACCAAGATTTGAACTCAGGACACACTGAGTATACATGTATGTAAAGTGTTTACAAAATACGTCAGTGAAGGGCAAAACCCAATATTGAACTTTTTATTAACGGAAACATTTTAGTTACAACTGCATCTTGATTCTGTACTTGTTGCACTTGTTCCATAGAAATTCAAGAAGAATTTGATCACAGAGTTGAACAAGATGTTTCCCGAGGAGATGGAGCAGTACAAGACGCATCACGGAGACACATGAACACCGAGGAGAAACATTTGAACAATAAGGAGTATTGGACCTATGCACAAATAACTCCTCAATGGTTACAAAGAGAAAGTCGGGGGAGACCACTGGGAGGGACTCCTAAACGTATCGTCAACGACGCCTGACGCTCATGCGAAAAAGCCATGGGTTGTGCACATTCAGAATAATATGAATTGTGCGTACTTCGTGCAATACAGACAAGAATGTGTTTAGCTGTGTGTCACCCCCGACTGGAGCTCTTATGAGCGATGACTTGATTCCAGAAGTGTTATGGGTTTTTACCCTTCACAGATGTAACTTTGTAAGCACCGCGGTGCACCGTGTACTCTTGTGAGCGTGTGAGAAGAACATCCATTAGCAGCTTGTTCATGTGGGAGTCGAACCGTCTACTTATTGCTTTCTAGCTCGTGTGGATGTGTTACAAGTCAACCGCTGAGCTTGCTAGGATCCGCAATATGCAAATCTGACATAGCAGCAGGTACTGCAATCAGTAATGCTTAACCCTAACCCCCTAGGCCCTTTGGGCTAGGAACCATCCTCAATCCTGCAAAATCCTCCAATCGCCACTATGTCAAATTTGGATTCCTCCAAAATCATCCATAAGTTCTTGAATTTGTTCAGTGGAGGGGTGACCATTGCCTCAGTCCTTCAAAATCTTCCAACAATCACTGTCAATGTGTTGAGGCAGTGCCGAGGATATTCAGAAGCAGTGTGGATGATATTGAGCATAATACAGGGCTCAATTATGCATGTCTAAACATCAACGATGCAGGGTACAACCTACAAACAGGACTCAATGCATCCTTCAAAATCAACCGCACTTTATTGCATTCTTCAGCCTCAATCCTTAAAGTCCTCCAAAACCGCCAGGAGGATGGAGGAGGGTTAATACAGTAGGGTTTATGATACTTTTGTTGAGAAGGCATTTATCTCTTGTGGCAAAATCCTCAGAATTTGTTTGGAGAGGTGTTTTGTTGGATTGGATAATGGAGTGTGTCAGAGCTTCAGAGCATGAGTGAGATTGGGGCGGGGGGACTAAAAAAATCCACGAAATGATCGGCAGAGGCCCCAGGACAAAGTAAGGTCTATGACGCATGTTTGTGTTTGCCCAAAGGCACCCCTTAAAATATCCATCTATAAAAAAAACCCCACCTTTATGGGTAAGAACTCAGGAATTCGCGATTTAATAATGGGAATCTTCCAAAAATCAGGAAAAATCCTGACCCAAAAATGATGAAGTCGGGGAAGAAATCCCCACACAAAAATCATGAAGTCAGGAGAATCTTGACAAATCTCACCCATCAGAGCCCTTGGAGAATGCAAGGGTTACCTCAAGGTTTATGGGGGTTTTATTCAAGGATACCACGAGGTTCAACCTTTGACTTGCTGCTTGTTCAATTCTTTCCTTATGAGCATCTCCAAAAAATATAAGATATGAAGGTTTGCATGGTGCAGTAAACAATAAGAGTAAGTTTCCACCATGTGCGAGGTTGTGAAGAACACCCAGGGGAAAACTCTTACAAAAAGTACGAGTGCCAATGCATTGCCATGAGAACTTTGACATTGGATGGAAAAGTTTTAATAAATTGGTTGATTTTCAGATTTATTTCACTGGAAATATTACTTGTAGACAAGCCATCGGTAACCCACCGTGAAGTGGTATAATAATTTCACTCATGCAGCATGCCTTTTCAGCAGTTTGAACCAATTTTTATTGTTTTATTTATTAAAATTTTCATAAAATGTACATGGAACAAATTAAATCATGATTTGTAGAATTCACTCCAAAACTGACAATAAAACAGTGTCATAGATATCTAACTTTCTATAATTTCCATAGTCTCTTTTCCTTGTTTTATGTGTTTTATGTCTTTGAACTCTTAGAGCCATTAAAACTACTTCAAGCATAATTTTTGTTTTTATTCATAAATTTCATCCTGTAAATTCATTCATTTCTTGAAATATTGAAATAAAGGAAAATTATTTTTTCTTAAGTGACTCTTAATAAATAAAATTGTTGGCTGGACACAATTATATTTGATGAAAATAATGACAAAGCAATGGCAATGTATACATTAACAATGTACAACTTTGTACAAGTTATTTACAAACTGGGAAATTCAGTGAGATCATTAAATCTATCCCTTTTTTTGGGGTGATCCCTAAAAAGTAAGATTACTACGACAGAAGGGGATGGGTAGGATCTGTTCAGGGGAATAGGATTACCCACAATACTTTGTGTTTCCTTCATAAGATTTTGTGATATAATGATTAATCCGTGTCGGGAGCAAGGGATGAGCCCGAAGGTCATGCGCGACCACAACTTACAATGTAAGTAGAATGTTGGACTGGGGGGGGGGGGGGGGGGGGGTGTGAGAGTTTTTAAATGATGGAGTTAATGTCCCAAGTAGAAAGTTCATGTGAAGTCACAGCTCTTGTCACATTGATCGAGGCTTGAGTATAAGTTTCCCCGTCTGAAAGAGAAAAAGTAAAAAAAATTCCGTTGGGCAAAAAACATTTGTGAGATCATTGACACTTTAAATTGAAAGTTTGAATGTTTTCAAAGATGCAAACATTGAAAGTTTCATTTTCTAAAACAAGGAAGTAAATTCCATTGTTTGACAAAAAAAGTTAATGAGAAACTTACATCGTCACACGACATGTTGAAGTCTGCTAGGACTGATCGACATCTTGCTGTAATTCTGTGAAAATCCTCGTCAAGGTATGTCATTGTCAAAATAATTGATTTAAAGAAATGGAACTGTTGTATCATGCATGTGGAAGTCTTACAACACTGCATGCTAAGCTTAACCCATTAGTAAGTGTATTACACTGTATAACATTGTGTTTATTCACTGGCAAATCCATAAAGACATAGAGTGCTTGGGCGGTTTGGGGCAGTACAGTGAGTAATAGGCTGGGCGGTTTGGGGCAGTACAGTGAGTAATAGGCTGGGCGGTTTGGGGCAGTACAGTGAGTAATAGGCTGGGCGGTTTGGGGCAGTACAGTGAGTAATAGGCTGGGCGGATTTGGGCGGTACAGTGAGTAATAGGCTGGGCGGTTTGGGGCAGTACAGTGAGTAATAGGCTGGGCGGTTTGGGGCAGTACAGTGAGTAATAGGCTGGGCGGTTTGGGGCAGTACAGTGAGTAATAGGCTGGGCGGTTTGGGGCAGTACAGTGAGTAATAGGCTGGGCGGTTTGGGGCAGTACAGTGAGTAATAGGCTGGGCGGTTTGGGGCAGTACAGGGAGTAATAGGCTGGGCGGTTTGGGGCAGTACAGTGAGAAATAGGCTGGGCGGTTTGGGGCAGTACAGTGAGTAATAGGCTGGGCGGTTCGGGGCAGTACAGTGAGTAATAGGCTGGGCGGTTTGGGGCAGTACAGTGAGTAATAGGCTGGGCGGATTTGGGCGGTACAGTGAATAAAGGGTTGAGGGCACGCACGACAAGACTTCCTGCCTCACCCGTCGGCAGTTAGAATCTGTCCTGAAAAGCAGTTTGAGTACAAAATATATTCAGAGGGTGTTAAAGGGAATATACAACATTTGCTTTTGCTGTGATTTTCAGAAATGGATGGATTTGGTGGTTAGTATTTTATAGCAAATACAAATGTAATGTTACACTGACTTGTTTGAAGTTTTTTTGTTTGTAAACGCTGGAATAACCAAGAAAAACAATCTTGTTCTTGTAGTCTGGTTCCCTGACCCTACTTAAGATGAAACAGAGCAATTTATAGACATCAGGGAATTGTAAGGTCAGGGAACCAGTCTAGCTGGCTTGTACCCTGTTCATAGGAGTGTAATCGATTGCAAACAAAATGTGGACTAATTAAATATGGTAAATTGAGAGCAGTATTTGAAAAATGCTGGTCGGCCGACCAGCGCTGGAAATTGATACAAAAATACACTTTTCTTGAAAATGTCAGCACACCAGGTGCCATGATTTTACAGGATGCTTTAGCCTGTCACTAACAGTCCAGTTAGGTATTTCATAACAATTTGGCATTTTTTTTATGGTTGCAAATGTTGTATATGCCCTTTAATCGGTAAATTTGAACAATTTTTGTCTTTTTCCTTTTCTTTGATTTCAAGTACTTGATGATTTATTTTTCCTGGCTGTTCAGTTGGCAAAGGATACATCGCGGGTGCCACTACACGTTTGTGAATTCCACACAAGAAGAGAAGTATCAGACAGAGACCACTGACAGCGAAGTAGGGATGGTTGTGTAGAGATTGTATGAACGACACCTGGAAAAGAACATTTACAACACAAAACTAGCCCTTGAAAAGGAGTGATTACAATCAAAACACAATAATAGTTCATGGACTCAATAGACCGTTATGATCCGTTAGATCCATTATGCCCTACCAACTACGCACATGGGCAACAACACATGTGTGTGTCATGCGCGATCTGGTACACGGTACCCTGTGGAGACATGTGCATAATAGGGAACAAAAGACTGTATACGTCTCCACAGGGCAATTTCTATAGGTGAATACGTCTCCACAAGTTATCACGAAATAGATATATTATACTCAAAAACTAGGAATTTCCAACGTGTGTTGATTTGTCGCAAATTAAAGTATTTTATGTAAGGGATATTAAGTCCGAATTTCAGCCCAGGAAATTAATTCTGATTAAAATAGGAGCATTTTGAAACTGCACTTTCAAACTCGAAAACTTTAATACGTAAGAACAAAGAAATGACTCCGCAAGGATACAAATTCCAGTATATGCGTACAAGAGGTTTATGTTCAATTTGGTTTTACTATCCGTGATTGTTAATCTGACAGAATTATACTGAAAATGGAAAAATAAAAAACACAAAGTTGTGGACTAACTTGTGACGTTTCCTTGTCCAGCAACCAATTCCATGCGCCGAGTGCTGTGATGGTTGAAATGAGGATCAGGACAACTGGGGAAATAGAAATAAGGATTAAACAGGAATCCTTTTAATTTATAATATAATACATTTAAAAACTAAGCTTCCATCTTTTAAACTGGCAAGGCAAAAATCTTTAAAAAAAATTTTTATGTTGTTTTGAATAGCATCTTTAAGTTAGGAATTCCCATTAGGCTTAACACAAGTTACTCTACTCAATTTAAATGCATTTCCTCTAGTTTGACATAATTGACAAGTTAAATAATTTAATATCTTTGTATTTAATCTTCATTGATTCAATATATCAGCAATAAAATCTGCACTGACCTCTCCAGCACCATGAGTGTGGTCGCTGATTTGCAATGTACTCAGTCAACCTACGCTCAAACGCCTTCAGGTCTGTGAAAATATAGAAATACAGAGAAATGTAGTATCAATCAATCAAAAGAAATTTATAATGCACCAAAATCAAAAAAAAGTTTGCTCTAAGGTGCTGATGGGGCACCAAAAAGAAGAAAAAATTATTGATGGTACACCTCCTGAAACAGGTGAGCTTTCAGGAGTGTCTTGAATGTATGCAGTGAGGTGGTATCTCTAATGTATTCTGGAAGTTTGTTCCAGATTCTGGGGCCGTATACAGAAAATGATCCATCAGCAAAAGAGACACAATGGGTTCTAGGCTCAACAAAGTGTAGTGAACAGACGGTTGATGATCGAAGTCGTCTCTGTTGAGAACTAATTTGGAGCATGTCCGTGATGTAAGCGGGAGCTTGTTTCCAGTACGCTTTAAACATAAGAATGATGACCTTGTAGTTGATTCTTTGTGTGACTGGAAGCCACTGTACAGTGGAATAATAATGAGATCATGTGACATACGTCATGATTTGAGGGAGGAAATGACAAATACAGGGGCCTAGAAAAAAACATAGTGGCTATCGCTGCGGCAGCCGTAATCCAAATTTCAACTTTTTTTCGTTACGGTATTGTAAAATCAACATTGCAAATCCATATCGCATTTGTCCATCTGGACTGAGTAACTTGGGCCCAGTCGCCAGACAATGTCCAAATGTTAAAAAGGCGATAAGTAGGGCCCAACCAGAACGTTTTGGTAGTTCGATTGGTTAAACATTCAATTACTGTGCCGGGAACGGGTTCAAAACTAGGCCTAGGTACTGCTGCGCTTCTCAATTATTTTTTTTATTAAAAATAAAATAGTTTTCTTGATTTTACTTTCTTGTTTTTAATCAAATCGTTCTTTTTATCCCCCCTGGCTTTTAAACCAAGAAAGGGGGATCTTGCAATAGTGTTTTGTGTGCCCGTGTTAGTCCCATAAATGTGGCCAATTTACTGGACTACCTCCGTGTCCGTAAATAAAGGCCACACTTGTACTTGGATCATGTACCCTTTTTCAGATGTCTATATTTCGTGTAATTTCCAGGTTCGTTTGCACACATTAGCGTATCTAAATTCCAACACAAAATTACACGAAAAATAGACGTCTGAAAAAGGGGGGGGGGGACTAATTTTCTATCGCTAGTTTGGGTGAGTGTGCTTCTAAAGCGTAAATAAACTACAAAGTCTAAAAAAAAATGTGAAAAATAAAAAGTTGACAAAGTTCTACATCTTCAGGTACATTATCCATGAGTGGTCTTTATTTACGGAGGTAGTCCAGTAAATTGGCCACATTTGATTTATGGGGCTAGTGTCTATCATCTATGTCCGTGACCGTCATCATGACCGTGTACTGTACTCAACGCCCCGCCCATTCCTCACGGAGGAGTAGCCAGCGCGGCCAGCGCAGCGTAGCCCGACTGCGTCTGGCCGTACAGTACTATCGCAAGCTCTGTAGTACGGCCAGACGCCCGATGCTTCCAAAAAGACTGAATTTTTTTGGCCGCCGATGTAGCGATTTTGCTACATCTTTCGATCGCGATTATCTTTTCATCCAGGACACAAATTTCCAAAGTTAAGGTTCGTAGTCGTAGAGCAACTCATACCTTTTCGAAAAAAACGTTCTTTGGTCTCAATATTTTCATCCATCTGGCCACAAGACGAATTTCAGTCATCAGATTCCACAAATATGTATGCATTAGGCGAGCACGCTTGGGTAAGATAATGAATATGCATCATAGTTTATGACGTATGTCGGACACTCAGCGCGGCTGGCCATACAAACACGAGGTCATGAACTAAATAATGCATATTCATTATCTTGCCCAAGCGCGCTCGCATAATGCATACATTACAGCGCGGCCGCCATTTTGAAATCGCATGGGGGATCGCATGGGGGACGATATTTGTGGAATCTGATGACTGAAATTCGTCTTGTGGCCAGATGGATGAAAATATTGAGACCAAAGAATGTTTTTTTCGAAAAGGTATGAGTTGCTCTACGACTACGAACCTTAACTTTGGAAATTTGTGTCCTGGATGAAAAGATAATCGCGATCGAAAGATGTAGCAAAATCGCTACATCGGCGGCCAAAAAAATTCAGTCTTTTTGGAAGCATCGGGCGTCTGGCCGTACTACAGAGCTTGCGATAGTACTGTACGGCCAGACGCAGTCGGGCTAAGCGCAGCGCAGCATTGCGTTGTAAACACACACATTTTACCTTCCGTTTGCACTTGTTCCACGGGCATTTTCATCGTAAAGACGCTGTGTGATCTGTAGTGTGGGAGAATACAACAATCACAATTAAAATACGTAAAACGGCACTAGGAAATCATCTTTTGGACAACTATTTCGCGCCGGTCGTGAGTCTGCCCGCTTTTGTGTACGTGTAAGTACGATCCCGGCGCGGCGAATGAAGCTAAACACGTCCAGGCTCCATACTGCATGAAGCAAGATAAAAGATCACAAATATAGACGGGTACCTATACCATCGCAAAATATTTCATCCTCGATCTCAAAATACGGCTATACTGTTTATATCTTCGGTCAGAGATGCTGATGAGACGAGATCGTTCCCAGGTTCAGCGAGTTACTGAAGCAGCGTGCAGGAGTCGGACGTGGAGAAAGTGTCGTTGTCAAGTGTCAATTTTCTTGGGGTTTTTTTGGCACTTTGGTGGGGTTCCAAAACCCTTTGACCCTTTACGTAAGTATTTAAGACTTGAAGATGACTATATGTTTAAGGTCTGAAGGTACTCGCTGTCGTGTTGACTTGAGATCATTAAATGGACATCAATTTATTTTAAGTGAAGTGGTAGGCCTAATCGGACATGTCGGAAATGGCGGACATACCGATATGCTTTATACACAAAGTAGATATGCAGGAGGGGGGGGGGGGGGGGGGGCTTTGTGGGGTGGGGGGGGGGGCAGATGGGTGATACCTGGTATGGGAGGGAGGAAAGATTTCAATATCTGGTCATCACTAATTATTGGCACAACTATTACAGGCAGGGCCACTCCATTATCCGCGCATCCATGGCTGCGTGGATGCGCAGTCGGTTTTCTACAGCGCCCTCTATTGATTAAAATTTACTTCATGCCCACTCTGCATCTGCGCATCCAGGCATCCAATAAAGCGCCCTCTATTGATTAAAATTAATTTCATGCCATCCGCACATTTCTACTGCGCCCTCTATTGATTAAAATTTACTTCATGCCCACTCTGCATCCGCGCATCCAGGCATCCAATGAAGCGCCCTCTATTGATTAAAATTTACTTCATGCCCACCCCACATCCGGGCATCCGCGCATTCAGGCTTCCAATAACACGCCCTCTATTGATTATAATTTACTTCATGCCCACCCCGCATCCACGCATCCAAGACGGAATGAGAGGGTAGGTTGGGGTTGGTTTTAGATAGGGAAATAAAGTAGTGGGTCCTATAGGGTAAATACACTAGAGGGTCCAGGGGTAAATAAAGCGCCCTCTATTGATGACTTCATGCTAATCCACCACACATCCACGCATCCAAGACATCCCAAGCCGTCTCACTCGGTATATACATTTACTTCATGCTCATTCAACTCTTTATACCACCCTCTATTTAGTTCGTACCAATACCGTACCATACATCGCATCCAACTACCAAAAAAAAAAAACCTTTTCCGGCGTGGCCCTGCGTTCTATAGTTGCTCCCACTAATTTTTTTCCTTCAGTGACCTGTCACTATCAGTCATCAGAAAGTGATATTAATATTATGTCATAAAAATTAAAATTAAAAAGTCAAATTTAGCATGGAAAATTGTGTAGAAGCATTACTGGAGAAAACACTTAGACATTTTCAAACCAGTCCCATAGGGTTTGTGCACAGGGTGACAAGTGATGGCCAGATATGGGAATCTTTCCAGGAGGGAGACGCAAGTTCCGAAAGAATGTTGTTGTTGCAACCTGACGCTACTACAGCGGTTGTGTACGAAGTCTAGTATTGCCTTCGCTGATGTTAGGATGGAGCTCAGGGTTCTCCCCACGTACAAATGTGCGTATCGGCCCGATACGCTGAATTTGCGGCCCGATACGCCGACAAAAATGCCGATCACATTTTTCAGCCCCCGATACGCACAATATAATTATTATACAAGCCATTAAAATGCACAACATAATCGTTTCATATGCCATTATTTCATCTTGACATGCAAAATCTTGACAAAAATCCCGTATTTCTGATGCATGTGTGATCAAAATGCACACAATGACGGGTCTTTCGCGTCGACCGCCAGCTATATATTAGCGCATACAAAACGGTACACTGGTTCCCTTCGCATGCTAACAGTATCAATGCTATGATGAAGGACCGGAACCAGTGACTACTGCCTCGTGCGTGCATGCATGATGATGATGTCGGCCGAAGTTGGATCGTAAAAACACCAAACAAACATCATCACAGAACGTGATCTTTAGTTTCTGTGTATGTATTTTCCATTAAAATGACGAGATTGCAAAGCTCGAACTTGTGGCGAAACATCGTAGCGTGCTTCTTAGGAGCAGTAGTGCAAAATTTTCGGCCACATGGGATGGGCCGTACACAGTGCAGTAATGCACACTGATACTGCGCCGTGTGTGCACGGCGCGATTTATGGCCGACGGCCGGCGGCCGGCCAGACTGAATGATGGCGCCAGGGGCCGTGATGTACGTTAAGCATATAGTGGAATCAACCTCCTCAAATATATTTTTAATTAGGTGAGGCAAGTTTTAATCACTTCTGATGATCAGTCTAGATAATTTTCGTGGTCATGGTGGTGCAAAGGAAAATAATCCAGGCACAAAACTACATGATTCCTTTTTCAATATGCTCCATTCAATCATGTGTTTTTATTCCTCCATGATTCAATCAGCAGCCCAAAAAATTGGCGAAATAATTTTTTCGACCTACCGACGCTATTTTGAAAGGCATGAAGTCGGAAGCAAAAGTGATTTTTTTGTTCACCTTAATTTCTTAATTTGAAACTTGCTTGTAAATATAATCCATACTTTCTAGCTCAAGAAGTTTTAACACAGGTTTTGAAATGTTGATTTTTTCTTAAGTTAAAAATTTTGATATTTTTTTTCTCTAATTACAAAAAATATCACAAGATCTCCACTAAATTTTAAGGAAAAATCTTCCTCAAAGACTCCCCAGATTTGCTCTAAAATGCACCAGAGAGCCTCTAAAGTTCAAAATATTTCGGGGCCCTTAAGCGGGCCCCGGACCCCACGCCGTGGCTTCGCAGGTTGGTGAATCACAACAAAACTTCCCCCACAGGTTTGAAAAAATCCTGGGGAGAACCCTGGGGCGCCATATTATCGTGGTACTTATCACGTTTGCTCTTTCGGAATAGAGATTGCCCACTAACCTTCCCCGTTTGGAAAAAGTTAATATTGATTAAAATGCTTAAAAGTCCCGAAAGACACAACATTTTTTAATCGTCCTTTTTATACAACTCGGTAGAAAGTCCTTTATGCCTGGTGAACTGGATAAAAATCGCCACTTGAAGGAGTTTTGGCAACGCAAAAAGGAAATTTCCGCGATAATAGGGATGCTGCGATAATAGGGAGTCCGACTATGCCTCAGCCCTATATTTTGTTTTTGGCATAATAGGTTTTGGCTTGACCGTACCAACGTATAAACACTGTATACGCAGCGTGTTACTTCCTGAGTAAAAGTTGGAAAAAATCACTTGGGTAGGGCTTGAACCCGCGACCTCCTGCTTTCTTAGTGCAGACATCTTACCACTCGACCACCGAGCTAACGGAATCTGTTGGCCGGTTCGACTCTGATGTACATATAGCAGCGGGTATGCACATTTGCAAGTGTATGTAAATTAAATCTGACTTTTGTTTATTTGCTTAGAACCATGAGGGATTCGGATCTACCTCCAAATGCTCGTCTGCATATCGCCCAGCTGTCTGAGACTGCGAATAAGGAGAATCTCAGAGCTAGATTTGAGAAGTACGGAACCATATATGGTAAGGCCACAAGCAGAGCATGCAACATAGTATCCAAACTTTCATGGAAGAGCGATTCTTCAAAAATTGAAACTAAATTACTTTTTAGGGAAAAAAGTTTTTTATGTGATGTAAATTGTAACTCAAATGATTATTGTTTACTAAAACAATGTTAGTTATGTAAAGACGCAAAATTCTTAAGGTGTTTCACACGTTGGTCTTTCTGTGCATACATTAGCATGAATTCAATTTCAAAATGCCTCACACATGACCGATTAAATGTCACACACGTGACCACAGTACAATTCCCATTTAGTAAAAGCAAAGCAGAGGGTGTACATTCTGTAAATCACAGAAGACTAGTCTTACTCCAAAATTAGTATGGGTGTGTCTGTCCTTAGAACTTTGGAGAAAAGTGTGAATTTCCGATATGGGTCCGATAACATTTTTATGTCTGATGTCACACATGTGACCAAACTTTGATGACCGCTCAGTTTGTGAAAGTAGAAACTATACTCTTAAGGTAGGGAGTAAAAGTACTAATCTGATGAATCAGTGAAAGTAATATGTCAGATGTAGTTAATAAGGACTAAAGCTTCATAAATCAGACGAGCCCAATTTATGTCACACACGTAACAAAAATTGGACTTGAAGTGTTTGTGATGGACTTTAAGGACTAACCTATGGTCTACTGACTGAGATATTGACATTGTCACTGAGCATACATGTCTTTGACTGAGCAAGACAGCGTAGTCTTCTTTACTGTGTGTCTTTTCAAAGACAACTCATGAATAACGGAGACAGGTTGCCAATTCCTATTGGTCGAGAGCCTGTCACGTGGGTGGTTTTAAACCGCCAGTAACACACCGCTGCATTCTGCGCCACTTGGGCAGTACGCTCCAATTTCACAGAGATTTTATTTTTAGCACTATGCGCGTGAGGCATAGACATGACCAGAGGGATATTTCACAAAACATGCAGGAAAAATGTTGAACAAAATCGTTGAAAATTGTGAACATATTTATCAATGGGAATAAATATGTGCTTGGCCGGTATTAAACATGTACATTTATAACTTGCTGGAGGCCTGCATGCGGATTATCCTCGCTTTCATCTTGGGCCATTACCCGCATTCAGCCCCTAGCCAGTTGTAACCAGCCGGCAAATTTTCTTTTCCCAAACGACATCGGCATACATGGTTGTTTAGCGCCCTGTACGATACTTTTTTGATATGCACGCAGGTAAATAATTATTTGCTTCTCCGCATTTTGACGAGTAGTGCGACAGCTCAGTCGGTAGAGGGTAGAATTTTGCACCGCGAGGTTGCGGGTTCGAATCTCGGTTTTGCACCCGTTTTTTTTTTCCTTTTCTGACCTGAGGCTTTGGAGGATTTTTTTTTTAATGGAAATAAAGTCCGAATTTCATAACGGTCAAATTCACATTTTTTTACTAATTTTATATTTTCTTCTCATGTTTTTATAAAAGTTAAGTCCAAAACGCCATAGCGTATATCCATATGTGGATGTCGTTTGGGAGAAAACCAGCCAAGCACATGTTTATTTGTACCTTAATAATTGTCACAGATGTTTTTATTTTTGGGGTTTTTTTTCATCAGAAATTTACGTCAATACAAACAAAGGATTCGGCTTCATACAGTATGCCAGTGCAGCGGAGGCAGCAAAGGCAATAGCAGCTGAAAATACGAGCTTCTTTGAAGGCAAACATATAGGTACGTAATATGCCAGAGGACGTGTAAACACGATCTGGCAGTGTATGTAATCCCAGGGGTTGGTGACGGGTTACATCGTCAAGCTTTCCCCAACTCCCCGCGGTGAATGTGTATACACATCAGTGGATCCCATTGGTTTCGAACACGCCGTGTTTTGAACTTGGCCCTGTTGGTCTGTCATCATAGCAAATATTGCTCCTAGGCAAGGCTTCGAAGTGTTGCAAAAAAGGAAGTTACGGTGGGAATTGTCATACAAATAGTGTACGAATGGTTCTCAAGAGTCAGTATTTGTGGGGGTTGACTTAATTTTAAAAATTAGCCAATATAAGATTTTAGGCTTTGCATAGTGGATATTACTTTCGTTTTTGTTTGCGGTAACGTCCTGTGGTAATGACTACTGTCGCTCAGTAGATATTTAGTCTGATAAGAACAGTCCTGCTTTTAGTTCTAAAAGAACTTGTCTTTGGTCACAACGTTTTGACTAGCCTGCCCTAGTCATCGTCTGGAGCCGATATATGTTGTCTTATTTTCCGGCCAAACATAATCTCGGCAGCACGTAGTTATTGTTTGTTGAAGTTATAGAGTGATTCTTGGAAGAAAACAAAACATTTTCAAATGTATTTTTTTTTTTCTAAAAATTCTTGGGATTTTTTTAAATTTCAGTGGGATTTTTTTAAATTTCAATCTGCTGTGATAAACTTAGAAATAATGTTTTCATCATTACTCTGCCCCTTTGTGCATTGTTTTCCATGTGGATATTTTTATTTCATTTTTTAATTCCAGGTGTTCGGCTTGCCCAAAAAGACAGGTTTGGGAACACCATCAATACAGATGATAGAGGGAGACCGGCTGCTAGCAGAGGCCAGGACCCATTCCTTGATAGAGACAGAGATAGAGAGAGAGACAGGTACTAATAAAGCTGTGTTGGTTGGAAGGGATGGGCACATACCAATGAAGGAGGGGCATGAAAAATGGGGGGGGGGGCTGTATTACATTCTGGGACGGATTTGTTGGGTTGGGCGGGAGCATCCAGAATGGCACCATCCCCTTAAACCCTAACTCCCTACTGAGTTTTACTTAGAAAAGTAGCAAGTCCACCAATCCATCACTGAGTCTGCTTCACATAATGCTTAAGGACCAAATCTGCCAAAATCCACCACAAATCCACCACTGCTATAGGTGGATTTTGATGGACTCGGTCCTCATGGGTTGCCTACCAAAATCCCCTCAAATGGGGGATGGATTTTGATGGAGTTGGGAAGGTTAGGGTTAAAGGCATACATACATGTACGTGTAGGATCATTTTCATTTATCCCGAAAGTAACCTACCAAATTATTATCGGAAATCTTACTTGGATTAGAGATCGTTCTGGTACTAAACACCTTGTGAATTAATCCGTCTGGCTTGCTGTCATTTACAAGAAATCAAGAAATATGGGTAGTCAATCAACGATCAGTCAATTAAAGAGCTATTGACGAAATCGTATTTCGTAATCCAAAGGTTGTGCATGTCTTTTTCCATGTCCGCTTGAAAAGTGTAATATCCACTGAGCTGAAACTTCAACAGGATAGGTTTTGAACAGTCTTCTTTGGAAACGAGCAAAATGCACAAAAAGCAAATGATGATCTTTCAGCAGTGTTGATTCACTCCAAGTCAAGCATAAGATAAAGAGCTCAACCCTAACTCTCTAGGCCCTTTTGGCTAGGAACCATCCTCAATCCTGCAAATTCCTCCAAGCCAAGCATAAGATAAAGAGCTCAACCCTAACTCTCTAGGCCCCAACCATCCTCAATCCTGCAAATTCATCCAATTGCCACCATGTAGAATAGAAGTATCTTTCAGTCAGCCACTCATTAAAAGGCATTGCTGCTTCTTCAGTTCATGCTTCTTAAGTTCAGAAACTATGATTTTATTAAAGAAGCAATGAGCAGTGAAGAGATAACTTTTGGCCAACTCAAATTCCATTTTTTTTTTATTCCTTCTCCAGGGATTTGGATCGCTATAGAGAGCGGGATTTGCCACTTCGTGACCTGCCACTTCGGGGTAGAGAGCGTTCGCCCCACCGTGATCGATACGATGACCGTTATTATGACAAATTTGAGCGAGGCAGAGACCTGTATGAGAGAGATCGTGAGGACGCTAGGTAGGTAACGTTTTTGTTAGTTCCTTAGTTTTTATGAAACTTTGCTGCCTTGTCGACTTCATTGGAAATTCATTTTTTGTTTTAGTAGACAATGCCAAGAAAAGGTAGGAAGCACCTATGGTCCGAAAGGACTCTTGACTTAAGATCAAGCTTATTAATGAAGCTCTTGAACGAATGAGTCCACCATCACAACTATGGTGGAGAGTTCCACAGTGTTCCACTTTATTTGTGCACTGGATCAATGGGTACCTGCATGAACCAACTTAGGATAAGGTTTGTCTACTTTAGAGAGTTGCAATCATCTTGGTCAATAGGATATGGTTTGACCTTTTTGTCAATGTCAATTTTATTTTAATGTTTAGGAGACGAGATCAGTTCTTTGAGGATCGACTTCCTCCCGTCAGAGATCGCTATGACGACCTGTATCCACCAGAAGATGACTACCGTAGGGAGGCTGTGTTCAGGGACAGAGAAAGAGACAGAGACAGGGACAGGGAGAGAGACAGGGAAAGAGACAGGTAAATAAAACTGGACATAATCCCCACCCCTTAAATCTGCACTCTACAGTTTGCTGTCAAATAAACCCATTCAAATCCCAACCCCTCAAAGTCCCCCAAACCAACACTCCTTAAACCCTTACTCTGATCCAGCCTAACCCCATCCCTAAACCACCACCCCTTGAATGTCCACCCCTCAAACTGTACCCTCCCACCCCACCCCTCTAACACCTATCATTCAAACCCCACCTCTTGAACCCTGAACTCTCACACTCCCATCCCTCAACCCCCCACCCCTCAACCCCATCCCTCCACCCCTACCATTCAAACCCCACCCCTTGAATCCTGAACCCTAACAACCCAACCCCTCAACCCCCACCCCAGGATTGTCTCGATTGCTGCTACGAAGATTCTCTTTCACCTGATAACCCACCCATCCCCTCATTTCTTCAGAGTAATCTTTATAACTTTATGTATACTTTTTGACTTTCCAGGCGGGATCCCCTTGAGCGCGGACGTTCCAGGGACATCCTAGACAGGGACATCCTAGACAGGGACATCCTAGACAGAGACATCCGAGAGAGAGACGTCCGAGAGAGAGACATCCTAGAGAGAGACAGCCTTCCAAGAGACAGTAGGGATGCCTATGACAGGAGGGCACCGCGTCACCCTGAACCAGCCCTCATTGATCCACTACCACCTGTCTCTGCCCCGCCACCCCTACCCTCAGCTGAGAAACCCATCGATTGTGAGATACTCCTGATGGGAAAGCACCTGAGGTAAGTTGTCTTACTTTATGGGGTTTATGGGGTCCATGCACAAGTACCCCCTCAACGGTAAGGAAGGGAGAGTTGGGGGAGACCACTGGGAGACTATTCAAACACGTTGTTGACAACGTCTGACACTCACGCGAAGACGCCCTGGCTTTGCGCACATTCAGAACACAATTATTAGTTGTGCGTACTTCGCGCTATATGTGCGTGAACCAGTACGCACACATGGTGTGTCCCGCCCACAGGGCTCTCGAAAGTTTTAAAAAGCACCCTCTCTTGTTTACGCACAGAGCCCAAAGAGAGTGAGCCTCACAAAAAAAAACTGGGCCACTGGTTAAGTTAAATCGAGCTCTGCGAAACTATGGTTTGAGATACATTTTGATGTCTTTACCAAGATATAACCCCTTTTAGCTAAAGGCGCAACCACAACCTTTTTGTTGTTTTAGTGTTTTCATGGTGATGCAGTTTACCATATCAGGTCACTTGCTAGAATGATCAATATAAAGGGTGGTCAGCTCTTAGTCTGGCACAGTGAGACTTTACAATTCGGCAGTTAAGCCATATCCGAATCAGGAATTTTCTGGCTTTGACTTTCCCCCATTGACACACTATGGATGTCATTCATAGCCATACAGAAACTACCTGTTTTAGACGCAGTCTTAAGGCTGGTTCATATTTCATGCGAATGCGAAGTGAATTTGACTCCACGAATCAATTGCAGTGAAATTTGCTGGAGGTGAATGTGTTTAACTGTTCAAATTCACAGCGCCAACATTTTCTGTGATGTCACAAATTCGTGTTCATGTTTGCTTTCACGCTGAGCACATCTGTCCTGGGCCCAATTTCACGGCGCTGCTTCTGCTTAACAGTTAGCAGAAAAGTTGTGTTTAGCATAGCAGAAAATTTGCTAACCTTAAGCACTATTTCACGGCGTGTGTGTGCTAACGGTCGCGCGTGCATGGAGATTTCTATTGTTACGTCACTAATTTAAGCAAATTTTTCCCCTGAAGTAAGCATGCCTTTTGCTTTGCTTATGCTTACGGTCGCCATGAAAAAGACTGAGGCTCTGTTAGCAGAAAATCGTGTGCTTAACAGCACACGGTGAAATTGGGCCCAGGGCCCAATTTCACGACGCTGCTAAGCAAAAAAATTTGCTTAGCACAAAAAAAGCCTGGCTTATAAAAGCAGTTTACCAGCCAAAACTCCACGTGATTTTCATGCTATAGCAAACAACAGCTGAATACTTATCACGAGCAATATACCTCACTTGGAGTTTTGGCTGGTAATCTGCTTTATAAGCCAGACTTTTTTGTGCTAAGCAAATTTTGTGCTTAGCAGCGCCCTAAAATTGGCCCCCGCGGGTGTGCTGTGACATATACTTCACTCAATAATGGTTTTGCACTTCACCCAAACCCAGTGTTGAATTTACCTCTCTCCATTGTACAAAATTACAAAAACAATAAATAAAGAGACTCAACTCCTCTTCACACCCAAGGATGAAAGCGAGACATGTATCTTTACCACCATCAACTCTTCTCCTTCAGGGATTATGCCGATCTTGTAGAGCGTCGCGTCAAGGCGCTGTCCCTCAACACCGGCCTGCTGCTAATTGCCAACGAAAGTTCCCTGACTCAGGCCCTGGAGGATGTCACGAGACGTAAGGTCCTGTACGCTATCATCCTGACGTCACAGAACGAGGTGCACCGTTCTGTTACTCTCAACATCCTGCACGGGAGCCCTCAAGGTAAGCTTACAAATCCTGCCATTCTTCAAAGTCTGGATTTCTCATTCTTTTTTTCTTCTGTTTGCTAAATTGTTTTTCTAAGATGGTTGAAGGTGGTGGTTGGTGCAGTAGGCAACTACTACGAAAGCTGATATGTTGCACTCGACAAACGTTTTGTTACACTTTTCATTATAAATACAACACCCTTTAACCAGTTCGCGTCAGAGGACGTGATGACACTCACTGGCTGTTTTTATACACAGGCACGGCTGACGGGTTAAGACATCAAGATTGCCTCGACTCGCCTCTGGGTGACATCTAAACACGTTAATCCCTCGTGCCTTTTGTACACACACACATAGGCTGATCTTGAATTAGCTGTTGTGCGCGGCCTATTGTTTCGAATATCCGACACATACTGTTGAAATGACTCTTGCGATTCAGTATTTGTGGCGTTTGGCTGTATATCAGAAGTTGGCTGGAAAATGTTGCCTTTTGCGAAAATCAAAATTTTCGGCAGAAATAATCCTGGCGCGAAGTGGTTAAGGAGAAGATTGTATTTGTGATGCTGTTCTTTTTTCCGCAGCAGGTCCATGTGCGAGGAAAAGAAGGACTTTCCTGATCATCAAAAATGGTTCTGCTGACATCCTACAAGTCATCTTTTTCTCCAAAATTGTTCTTATTTCTTTTATCTAGATTATTCTTATCAGAAAATGAGATCGTCCGTTTGATTTGGTGTACTTTATCTGATCAATCCAGAATTAAAATAAATATGGTACTGAAATAAAAAAAAAATAAAAAAACAAGTTTTTGTGAAGTTGTCCATTGTAAAGTTATTTTTCTATCATTATAGAAGGACTATCAAATCCAAAAAGGTTGGAACTTAAACTGCGATCATTCAAGCAAAACTTCAAGACAATCATTTAAAAGAATATACGTTTCCCAAGATAAACAGATTTCGTCATTCACGACTTCACATGTATGCCATTAAAAGTTGAAAAAGTTCAACTTTCACAAGACCTTTTTTTTAGGTACATAACACTTGTAAAGAAACTAATATCCACGTCAGCATTTTTTACTGGAAAAAAATCTGCCAATTTTTTTCGGCAACAACAGTTTAATTTCAGGTATTCTGAGGATCGTGATGTGGTAATACAGCATGCATCTATACTGATCCGATTCTTTCTTATGTTCATTGGTAGCAGGTGTTTTCTTTGAAGCAGGTGCCTGCAAGAACTTCAACATCAAAAATAATTAATTATAATAAATTAATTGATAGAATTAACATCAAACCTCAAAGATTTGAAAAAAACCGAAACGATGTCCTTCATCTATTAACCAATCACTTAAATTGTTTTTGTGTAATGATATTATCTTGTTTCTTGGAGAGATACCACAAATAAATGATGCTGCTTTGACAGTTCAAATAAAATTAAACTACTCAAATTAGTAAATATTTAAAAAAAAAATAGGAAAATAAAAATATAATTGCAATGAGTTTGTTTGTGAAATGACTCAATACAACGTCCCCACCACCCCCCCCCCAAGATAAAAATATGATTCCAGCATGGACCCAATTACCAAATGAATTATTAATTCTTTTCTTTCAGGCGTAAAGGATGAAAATAAAGTTCTCAATACTTAGTTTATACATGAGTCTTGTTATTTGATTATTTTGACTTTTATTATAATTCCAGTCAATATGAATCAAGGCAAATAAAGATGAACAAGTATTTCAGATTTTTCAGACACAACACTTGACTATAATATATGTGTTTATTGTGCACTTTTTATGACTTCTGTTTGGTATATAACATGTATTTATTTTTTATTATAAGTAGGATGACTGTAAAATTATCAGTTGAACTTTTGTATATGTGTATGTGTTTATCCATATTTTTCTATTTTTCAGATTACCTTACGAGAAGATTTTTCATTTTTTTCCCCTTGTGTCTACAAAATCAGAGCACAGAAACATGCCGTTAGAAGATGCCTTGGCGTTAGTCGATCGTAACTTCTCCACTTATCTCCAAGATCGGGCAGTGCCAGTCAAGAGTTCCTCAAGCTCTGCCCCCGCCGCTCCAATGGCCCCCCTCCCTGGGGAGCCACCGTTACCCAAGTCCCAGCCCCCACTCCCCCCTACCCCACAGCCCCCTGCACCCCCGGCCGCCCCTACCGCCTTGGCCATTCCAGCGGTCGAGCTGACTATCCCCCAACTTATCAACCTGCTCGCCGATCGCAAACAGCTTACGTTGAGCGAGATGGATAGGGTCATCAGTCACTTACAGGCAGTCCGGCGTAAAATGGCCATTGAGCAGGGTCTGAATCCAGACCCGCCTGCTGTGGCTAGCTCTGCCCCTGCCCCCACTATCACCAAGAGTGTACAGCAACCTATAGGTGAGTACACTATGACTCAACGTCTTGTTTCTGCTAACTTGCCCATTTACCACACAACCATGTCACTGAATTTCCCTAGATTCCATCTTAACTGAAATGGACGATTCCTCCTTTGAATATCTTTTGCAGTCGATCGTTTTTTTTTAGCATATCTCAAATGCCGATCAAAAAATCCCCTAAAAAAAAATAATCCCAAAACAAACCAATGGAGTCACCTCATAACAAAAACGAGAATTATAAATCTGCATGTCAGTTGCTTCATTGTTCATTATATTTTCTGAGCATGTGAAATTTACTTCCTCTATTTGCAGATTTCTTTTCTCAACCCTGTTGAACTTAAGCACCTAAAATTTCTTGCCATTTTTGCTGGATTTTTTGGGATTGCAACTGTGATTGCTAGAAAATTAGTCCCTTTTGAAGGAAAGATTAGAATCGTGCTTGGAATTGTTATTTAAATTAATATAATCACTTTTGGTTAATATTTCAGTTACCCCAGCTGTAGCCCCAGCCCCAGCGAAACCAGTGGACCCCAAACAGGCTGAGCTACAGGCCAAGATTTTAAGCATCTTCAACCCATCTGGTAGCAGCAGCACAGCCGCAGCCACATCCGCAGCCAATAGGACAACAATGGCTACGGCTCCTCAGCCGGTATCCAGGCCTAGCATGGCTGCTTCCTTTCTGCACGGTGGCAGTCTTTCATCTGTAAATGCATCCCAGGCAGCCAAAGCTGCCCCTACCAGCAAGTCAGCCGGAGATATTAATTTTGACAGTCCTGTCGTACAGAAGGTCCTGGATAAGTTGATACTGTCTGGACCGACGATGTTGAAGAAACTCGCCACCTCTGCTAACGGGACAGCGTCGATCAGCACCTTCAGTCGAACCCAGGCTAGTAACAGCAAAGGCATCAAGGATCCAAAGAGCCAAAGCAGGGTCACTCCTAAAGCTGGGCTTTCGAGGCAAGACAGCGACGCTCAGCTGAGAGCAGCACAGCAGGCTGCGCTGAAGACGCTACAGCAGCAAGAAAATGCTACAATGACCGTGCAATCTAATATGACGCGGCAGATCCCACCAACACCTGCAGCTGTGATGCAGAACCAGTACCCGCCAGGGATGGTGCAGTATCCGCAGCCAGCACAGTATCAACAGCAGCAAGCAGTGTATCAGCAACAGCAACAAGCTGCGTATCAACAGCAGCAGCAGCAACCAATGGTCCAGTACCCACAGCAGCAGTACCAGCAACCCAACATGCAGCAGCAACAACCTCTTGCTACCAGTCCCACACCGCTGTTGCCAGATCCCATCGACAAGAAAGGCAGGGGTTGGCCTCGTGGATGGAACCCGCCCGGAGTACAGTCGACTGGTGGCCAGCAAACCGGTCACCAGCAGGGGTTTCAGTCCAGCGCTCAACCAAACCTTCAACAGAATCCTCACATGAATCAAAATTCACGCGCCTCTTACCAGCAGCAGCAGCAGAACAGAGGCTATCTTGGCAACCGCTCGCAACCAAAGCCTCCAGGCATTTAGAGAACCTCAACGCATCCTATCAGAGTTCTGCATTCTCACTGTACAACACTTGTATATCTTCTATTAAACCAGGCTGCATCTGAACCTCTTGCCTAGATCCATAGTCCAGGTCTTTGTCAGTTACAAAAATATGGTAACATGTAGATGCAGCCATAGCCCTGGATCCTTAGGCCTGGCTATGGCTTGAAATTCCACACTAGTCAATGAAAGCGTCTGCAGCCACTGCACATTGACTTGTGTGTAATTTCTAACCGCAGCCAAGTAATGCAGACACTGCCTTATTTGGATCTGGCCTAATCTTACAATTACGTCTTGCACCCAGACTTCTTCCCTAAGAATCAGTACACTTGTAGGATAGGTCCATCCTTCTGAATCCTTCTGATTCAGTTTATCAAATATTCTTAAATCCTTGTCCTTTAATTCTTAGAAGAAACAAAATCAAACTGTGACTTTAGAAATCACTTTCTCAGAGATATACTTGTAGGTTTTTTGTATCATACATTAAAATGGTTTTAAATGTTTAATGTTTGGAGTCATTTGTGCTCGTGTAATTAAAACGAATTTGAGATAATTTTGATGTTACCCCTCTTTGGGTTTTCTGCTGAATACTGCAGTATAATGTACATGTAAGTCATAAATCCTGGTTTTATTTAAACGGGATGAAAGAAGGTGTTTAAAATGTTGGATAGAACCAAAAAATAAGGAAAATGTAGACTGGGACTTGCAAACTAAGGTTTACCTGAAAAAATGGACTACATGTACTACTTAAATGCTGAATAATTATTATTATTTTTGTTTTTTTTAAGAATTGATGGTTATTATTGTTACTTAAGAAATAAAAGAAAATAATACCTGAATATGTGACATTGAAACAATTTTTTATGTAATCAATGTGTGTGTAAAAAATTATGAGTGAGTTCAGTTAAGGAAATGTCTCTTCTTCTTTTTTAAGAAAAAGGGAGAAAGGGTCAATCCAAATAAAGACTAGAAACGGGAAACGTAAGTAGTCTTATTTGAAGAAGAGTACAGGCATGCAACTTTTCCTCGGATCAGCTGATTTCGTCGTTTTTCACTTCACACTCATGCCATTAAAATTGAAAACCAACTGTACAAAGTCTTGTAAAGATTGGAGTATCCTCGTTTTGGGGGTGACTTCCAAGTTGCAAGCCTGAGAATAAAAACGGGCTGTGAGTGTGTACTTGTTGATGTCTGATTTAATATCACATGCACGATATTGTTCAGTATCATGAATTTTATTCCTGCAGTTTGTGTCGTAGACGTGTTGCCGTTTTAAGGCGAAAAAGGTTGCACAGGGGTGTAAGCGCTATTCTCTTTTTACTACCCGAAAACAAATCACAGCGGATTTTTTTTTACAAATTTTAACAGTGAATTAACTAAAAATAAATCTGGAACACATTGTGCATTAAAAAGTGTGCCCTCGTTTACAAAAAAACTTAACAACTTGTATATTTTGGCTTGCAAACTTTTACTTTCCTCCTCACTTGTAAATAAACGTACTTAATTAGCAGTTTCATTGTTAAACTTTGCACATTGCAGAAAATAGTCACATAATTGCAGAAAATAGTCACATTATTGTTCATCGTAGTGTAGGATAGTATAATCAGTCAATAAAATACGAAATATCAGTTAATCAGTAAATCAGTTAATACGAAAAACTCTTTTAGCATTAGATTATTTCATTTTTATGTTTTTTGACAATAATCAGCTGATAAAATTACAGTTAACACGAAAAACTCTTCTAGAATTTGATTATTTCATTTTTATGTTTTTCACAAGATCGCTGTACATTGTAGAAGAGAGACATTGGTAGTGCGAGTGTTTTACATTAAACCAGTTGTATGATGTTGGTAGTCATCAAAACGGAGACCTTGAGTTAGGTGTGACTCTTCCTTCGTCTTTCAGTCGATCAAATCCTATAGATTTTCACGAGGACCATAGTTGCCGTATCCACAGAGCTTTGTTGTGGTTTGTCTCAGTCTTTGGATGTACACTCGATGGTCCCAATAAAGTGGTCGTTTCGCTTTACGTACCTCTGCACATTTTGCATCGAGAATTGCAGAGTTTGGCAAAAGTCGGCATTTAATACAGCGCGCATCTTCGAAAAGAAAGTTGCAACCTGACGCCACTTGTTTTTACCATATATCTTTTTCTTCATATATCATCTCAATAAAGATCAGTCATTGCAAAATGTTGAAAAGACATGAGTCTGGGACGGAGAAATACATTTCCAATTTTGTTTGACTCAATTTTGTATTTTTGTTTGACTCTCCATAGACTTTGTACACAACCGCTGAAGTGGCGTCTGTATACATGACCTACATTTTTCCCGCATCTTCAAACAAGAAAGCTACCGTTACGTACGTTGATTCAGGAGTTAGTTGAACGAGAACAGTCGATTTTTGGTTGTACACTGTACATATGTATATGTACATGTACATGAAAAGCGACTTTAAACTATTTGCCGTCGATTTGAGTGTCTGTTAAAACAAATTAATTGGTTATGATCATTTACATGTAATCGTATTTTTTTTTTACACAGGTAGAAACCCTAAAAACAAATCGCTAGTTGTCTGCGATAACGTTCGTCACCCGTTGCGAGGTCTGTTTCACGATCGGAGATTTTTTTTCTCGATACGTTGTCGATCGCAAACTTCGTTTTAAAAGGTGACTGTGACTCGGTTAAACTTGCGTTTGAAACTTGTAAGAGTCGTGCTAGATCTTTGGGGAAATTCGTGGGATTCGTATAGAACTTTGTAGGATTCGTTCCAGAACTTTGTGTAAAACGAAGGGGCATCGAGTGTACATCATTAGCGAAATACTCGTATCTCGTATAAATGCATTACATTTACAAAGGGCCCGGATGAATTGAACAAAAACTAACCATATTGTTATTTTTATAGTTCACAATCACATGACCATAAAGAATAGTCCGACACTGTGCTGATGTTGGCCTGTTGTTTTGGAGTCAAATTGACCGATGGGTCAGTAAATTTATTGGCCACAATGTTGATTACCACCCGTAAACAACACGGGACGGATTTTTTTAAATGGCCGTTTGGCCTGTAAATTTGCCGGCCACGCCTATTTCCAATACTTTCAGATTTTAGGATCACGTTTACCGATTGGCTGGTAAATTTACAGACCACCGGTTGATAGTTTTCATTTCCAAAATGAAACATGAAGATTTAACGACATAAAGCACCATTGAAATGTTGAGGCACGGTGCTTTCTAATATTAATAAGACGATTCATGGTTGTGGAACCAGAATGGGACACGATAGCAAATGTAATCGTATTTTTTACACCGACCACGATTTACCGATTTCGCTTTTGCTTCTTAAGTGTTTACTTTCTTAGAGTTTAGGCACTCTCCTGAAGACGGTCAGAGCATACTGACCGGAACGTCGAGTTTATACCTCTGGTTCTTTTCAGAACCGTTTCTCTTAGAAATTATTCCCACATGGTGCACCGGTGTTTCCGCAAACCATTCATTATTTAGTATCGCTACCATGCAAAGCATCAAATCTTACTTACGATAGCAAATGATTTGAGCCACCGCTCTGTTATGTTATAGACCGTGAATGAGTCACGTGCTTACGCCCCTGTGCCCCGGCTGCAAACTTCACATCACTCAACGGGCCAGTCCTGCATCCTCTATGCACCAAAGAGACCTCCATATATATATAGATACAGTATACCACTCCTAACATTTTTTACACAGCATTTTTTTTTCATTTATGAAACGATATTTTCTGTAGTTGAGCCGTCTTAACAACGTATTTCACAACATACGCATCATACACGTAGTGAAATCGGATGATTCCGGAGTAGCCTATCTCTCATGACGGGTGCTTGGCGTACCGCCACGAATATTTTTTTTTTACGGAAAAGAAACCCCCCAAAATGAAACAAAAATAAGTCTTTCACATTCGTGTCGTGAAATACGAAAGGCACTAAAGGAACGAATTAAAAATACGTCAACGTTTACGGCGCAACTGAATCGTTTTTTCATTGTTGTTGGCTTTCTGACACGTCAACGGTATCTCATCTGACGTGTTCGACGTTGTTCGTCATTCTTTCGAACGTTTAACAGTTTTTCAGACGTTTTACGTTTAATGGTTGTTATAGAATGTATTGATTTGGTGCACAATACGCGATACCCATCGTTATTATAGTGTAGACGTTAGGTTACTATACGAACACGCAGCGAAGGTCGATATTTTGGGATTTTACTTAGGCAAACCGGTCCTTAGTTTAAAATATAGAATACTTCTTATTCTGTCAGTCTCAACCATTATGTGCGGTCGCAAGTTTTCTCGACGTTTCTCTTCATACACGTCATCATTCCAACCGATTTTCGAATATTCAAAACGCACAGCGTTTCGAATCGGCGTCGAAAAGCGAATGTTGGACCCGACCACTTAAGAGAGCGATAGAAAGTTTAACAGTAACCTCCAACTATTTGAAATTTTCGACATTTCACCTTCCCCGGCCCGACCGTCACATCTTAAGGGAGTAGTACCCTGGAGTGTCCGTTTATAAATAACAGGTGTGAGCATTATATAAAGCAGTAAAAAAAAATGAGGGAAAATGGAATGTTATTGACAAAATAATCGTACAGGTGGATAAGTCGAGGTGATATGAGGACTGCATTAGTCTGACAGTCATCTGGACGAGAGCTTTCATGCTTCGCTGGGCGGTGTCTGGTTCCCGCCCCCAGGCAATACGTGATGTTGACAGTGTGGAAAGTATTACGGTGATTATTTCATGTGTGAGTTGGCATTCGAACGATAGAAGCAGTGAGCCTATACCAAATTGAATCATCGGTAAATAAATCGATCAAAAAAAAAAAGTTTCTTACGAGAGACGTTCACGCGCAATGTTATAATAGCATTGAATCAAGTTTTGCCGTTTGTGTACGGTTTAGTTCATAGAGAGGCTGTACTGGCAGGCTGTGGCCTCTTCAATGGGTAATTATATAAAATTAAAAAAAACACCAAACAAACAAACAAACACCCCAATGAACAAACAAAAACTGTTACCCTTCGTATTACGAACGTGTAAGAGTACTTTTGCAATGGGCCTCTTATCGTTTCAATAAGGCGATTTCAATACGGCGATTCCACACAAGTAGCAAGTGGTGATTAATACGTGAGTTTAGTCGTTCACGGACTAATATTCACGTTACACGTACTTTGAGGATCTACCACGAATCTTCGTCCGATTTTTCACTCCCTGATTCGTTTACGAGATAGGTTGCACTTAGAAAAGTTCATGTTATAGTTCATGAGGTATATTTATATGTGAAAATTCGGTTAGTTTTGAAATGAGTTCAAACTGTGTATTTTTTTAGGTAACGCCATACCTGAACACGGTTAGTAACCATGTTGGAACTCGATTCGTCATTGTTTGCATTCCGGTACGGTATACTG